AGCACCTGGGAGCCCAAGCAGGCAGCACCCAACCCACCCTGGGAAATCCAGGGAGGCTTCATAGAGCAGGTGACATTCAGCGGGGTTTTGAAGGGTAAAAGGGATTTCTTCAGACACAGAAGTAAGGAGAAGGGCATTGCAAGCAGAGGGAACAGTGTGGGAAAGGCCTGGAGCCTGTAACAAGAGCACAGCGTACATGGCTGGACAGTGACGGTAAATGGAATGAAGGGGGAGAGGAGGCTGGGAAGGGAGGAAGGGGAGATGAGGCCCCAGTGCCTGAGAGGATTGGGGGCTGGTTTTGAAGGGCCTCAGGGCCATGAGGAAGACTTGGAACTTTATCCCATGGCAGTGAGGAACCAATGGAGGGTTTTCAGCTGGACAGGGACATGCCAGGACCTGTGTTTTGGAAGCAGTTCTCCAGCTGAGTATAACAAGGTCTATTTCCCAGGGACAGAGTCAGGGAGGCCAGGAGGAGGGCCCTGGGGTCATCGCAAAGAGCACCATGGTGGCCTGACTCCTGCGATGGCAGTGAGGTGGGAGGAAAGGGGCAGAACCGCAGTGAAGAGCGACAGGCTGGATGTGGGGCACAGCGGGCAGGGAGACGTCCAGATCGGGTCTAGGTTTCTGGATGCCGCTCACCGGGACGGAAAAGCAGGTTTTCAGAAGACAACATGGAAGAGTTCCGTTGGGGGCCTGCTTAGCTTAGGGTACCCATGGAGCACCAACAGGAAGACGAGAATCTGAGAGGCCTGGCTGTGAGGTGCTGCCCAAGGTCGTGCAGGGTCAATGTCATCTCTGGGTCTAGAATGCAGGCCTCCCACTACTTACCCCTCCCCACCATCCCCAGGACTGTGCTTCCTCCTCCTACCTCTTTTATGGCCTTCAGACACACTCTTCCAATCCCAGCCTCCATGCCTTTGCTCATGCTGTTCCTCTGCCCGGAATACCCTTCCTTCCTCTGTACAAATCCCACCCATCCCTCAAGTTCCAGCTGGAGTCCCACCTCAGCCCAGGGGCTGGAGTAAAGATCCAGGGTCAGAGGTGGGTGGGTATAGAAGAGAGGCGGTGATGGTGACAGCAAGTGCAGCAACCTGAACTAGAGCCCCGCTCTGCTGCAAGCTGGCTGGGTGACCTGGGATAGGGCACTTTCTCTCTCTGGGCCTCCGTTACCTACTCTCTTCAGAGGAGAATAAGGAAAGGCCCTTGTCCCCAGGGAGCTCACAGTCTAGAAAGGGCCATAAGGTAAAACACAACCAGTGACATTAGATGTATATCAAACGCCTTAGATAGACACATGAAAAGAGGTTTGTGGAGAAAGACAGTAGTGTTTTCTCGGAGCCTTGAAGCATGGATGAAATTTCAACAGGTAGAGATGGAGGCAGAGGAGAGCGCTCCAGGCAGAGCAAACAACCTATGCCGGGAGGCAGAAAGTTCAGGGTGTGTTCAAGGAAGAATGAGTGTCTAGATTCTGGTTTCTTTCTGAGTCAACAGCTCAGACACTTTTTTGTAAGCTGGCAGCCCAAGCCAGGCAGCCTCCAGTAAACACCTGTTTGCACAATCGAGGTCACACACAGGGGCGTGTTTGCACAATGACCTGTTTGCATAATCTCAGCCGACTGTGTATCCCAGCTAAACCAACCCCTGATGGACAAGCACAGCCGCCACTTCCGGATACTCACACCGGCTGGCCCACCCAGCCCCTGCCCGGCCCCCTGTAGAACAGGTGGCCTCTTGACACACCCAGCAGCCCCCCCACGTCACGGGCAATAACAGAAACTGAAATGATCTGATCCTCAGTAGGTCTGCTGAGAACGGGGGTTCCCTCCCCAGGGCTCCCTGGCTGGGGTTTCCAGCCCACAGAGTACACCCTGGCCAGTGGAGGAGTGGGTGGGGGCAGAAGAGCTGGAGGAGGAAGTATCCACAAAGCAGACACAGGAGGAGCGTCGAGGGGATGACTCCACATCTGTCTTGCGCTTTTCGGCTCACCAGAGTAAACATTTATTTAGCATTTATTATGTTCCTGGCTCTGTTCCATGAGCCTCACGGGCATTATTTCACTGATTTCTCTCAAGAAACCCATGAAGCAGATTCTGTTATTTCCTCATTTTAAAGATGATGAAACTGAGGCTCAGAGAGGTTAAACAATCTGCCCAGGGTCACACAGCTAGTACGTGGTAAACCCAAGCAGTCTGGCTCCTCAGCCCCTGCTCTTCGCTTCTCTAATGACTCTCCCTTGAGGAAAAGTCTTCCTTAAATCTAACTTTCGTTTCAGCTGCTGTAGCTCCATTTCCTGGAGCAGGTCCGAAGTAGAGAATGAAGCACAGATGAGATTAGCCAAATCTCATTCTGAAATACTAAACAATGCAGGGGGTAAAAAAAGAAAGGAATTTTTATTGAACACCTATTCCATGCTGGTTAATGTGCAAGGCTCCTGTAGCTCATTTAATTCTCACAAAACCTGGGGAGGAGTTATTATCCCTGTTGCAGATAAGAAAACGGAGGCTTGGAAAGGGTGAACAACTTCTCCAAGACTCCACAGCCCAGTAGACATGCACTGGGAATCCTCTGTGAGCCTGCACTGTGCTGAGGCTGGAGGAAGAGGTGGGAGCATGGTTTCTGCCTTCAAGGAGTTCACAGTCTAATGGAGGAGGCAGACAGCCCGCAGCCCACCCCAGTGGTACAGGATCACCAGGAGAGATGCTCAGCGCAGACTGGGTGTCTGAGCTGTGTTCGAGGCGGGAATGGCTAGCCTGGCAATGGGATCAGCAAGAATGAACAGGAGTTCCAGAGCCTGAGGCAGGCAGGGAAACACATGCAAGCTCTACGTGAAGTTCATGGCCAGAGCATGAAGTGTCTGCCTGGGGAAATGGAGGCAGATAAGGCAGGAGAGGGAGGCAGAGCCAGATCACGGGGTTTCTTGACTGTCCAGTTAAGGAGTTAGGACAGTCAACTGAACTCAGAGGAAGGGGACCAGTGAGGAACCAGCATGGTCAGACGTGTGTAGGAAAGCTCACTCTGCCAGGCGCCGACAGAGGGAGGAGCCCAGCGGGCAGGCTGGCGCAGCCAGGTGAAGGATGCGGAGACCTGACGAAGGCAAGCAGGGGAGATGGCTTCAGCGTTGTGGACAAGACAGAGCTCCATAAAGGCAGCAACTGAAGCTGCTATTGCAAGCCATTGCACCCTGCACCTGCACTAGGACTGTGTTTTCTGAATGATAAACAAAAGGCTCATTCTCCTTCACTCTGAGCTGACTGGACAGGGAGTGTGGCCAGGGGAGGTGAGGAACGACTCCTGGGTCCCTGGTCAGGTGACTTAGGGGAATGAGGATGGGGGACTAATTTACCAAGGTGAGGCAGGTGGGGGTTGGGAATAGGTTTGGTGAAGTGAAGGAAGATTCATGCAGTCAATCCATTCATTCAACGAATATGTATTGAGGGCTCACTGTGTGACAGGCAGTGTTGTACACACTGCAGATAATGTCTCAAACAAAACAGACTAAAACCCTTGCCTTCGTAGGACTTCCGTTCTAGTGGGAGATGAGGGGCAGGGGCAGCCCATGTCAGATGGTGAAAGGGGAAATAGGGGGAAAGAGGGAAGGAGTAGGGGGTAGCAATTTTTTTGAAAGGGTGGTCAGAGAAGGCCTTGATGAGAAGGTGATATTCAAGCAAAGACCTAAAGAATGGAAGGGAGTAACCCATGTCATTAGTTGGGGAGAAAGAGTCCAAGCAGAAGATGCAGCAAGTGCAAAGGCCCTGAGGCAGCAGGGAGCCTAATAAGTTCAAGCAACAACAAGAAAAGCTGAGTGGCTGGAGCAGAGCAGGAAGGAGAGAATTATAGGAGAGGGATCAGGGAGCAAATGGGGGTACCCCAGGTTAAATAGGGCCTTGTACAGATCATTGAAAGGGGTTCGACTTTGACACTGAGTGAGATGGAAGCCGTTAAGGGTTTGGGCAGTGGATGACATGAACTGACTTCTGTTTGATTAGCACCACACTGGCTGCTGACGGAACATTAAAAGGGGACAAGGATGAACGGAAGTAGGAGGCCAGGGAGGGGGCCAATGCAATGATCTAGGTTTATGTGATATTTGTATTTTCCAACTTTGTCATGAAAATATTCAAAGATAGAACCAAGTTGAACTTTACGGTGAATACCTGTCTATCCAGGATTCTGGTTATATTTTGAAAGAAGAGTCCATGGGATCTGCTGAGCCTTCGGGGCCTATGGGACATCTCGGGGAAGTTGCCCCAGACAGTGGGTATTTCGATCTGAGGCCAAAACTGCAGCCCAGGTCTACCCCATCACCCCAGACTCAGAAAGCCCTTTTTTTCCTCAAAGAATCATATGTTATGGACACTGTGCTTAGTCAGTTGGGACCTAACCTTATTGAGTCATAAATCCAATAAACTGTGAACAGTCTGAGCCTTCTTCAGAAAAATGCACAGAAAATTATAAACAACAGCAGGGGGACCATGGATATAGACAATGAGAGACATAAGATGCAGTCTATTTCACTCAATCAAAAAATGTTCCGTTTAGCAGAGTCCTTGTGAGTAAACATTACCAATTTCTAGTGAGCCTATGAAGACCCTGACCTCACAGGTCTCCCCTCTGTGGCCCCCGAGTCCCCGTTTCTCCATCTGCTGGACCTACAAGCAGTGGTGGGAAATGCGTGGTGAAGAGGGTAGCAGTGAGGAAGGTACTGAATTACCAAGTTCCCTGTAACCTGGAGGCTGCCCCCCTGAGTACTGTGAGGGCCCAGAGGCTGGTGCCAAAATGAGGCTTAGAGCTGAGCGAACCTTCCAGCCAGGGTCTGTGTTTGAGGGATGCTCCCCCAAGGCAAGGGGCATGGGAATGGCACCCAGCTGAGTTGGAGCCTGGGCCCTGCTGGGCCTCAAAGCTTTGAGGTCAGGAAATCCGGAGACAGAGGAGGGGGACATGGTTGCCACATCCCCCAGCCCCTTTAAGACCCCCAAGGCAGGAAGGCTGCCCAGGCCTCACCAGCTTCCCTCCAGGCTCCTTCCTGGGAGGAAGGGGCTGCCTGTGCCTCGGCAGCAGGGCAGGCGAGGGAAGGAGGCTGGGCAGGTGTTGCAATCCACGGCCCCTGGGTCTATCAGAGGCCAAGCCATTAACGACAGGGCTGGGGAGAGAAGCCAGACTGAGGCTGTTTTAAGGAACTTGCCTGAAGAAGAGCAGAGACCAGGCAGGGAGACTGCGGGGCTGCGGCCCCAGCGTGAGTAGGGGAGCCCCTGGGGAGCCCGAGGGAGAGCTGAGCCTTGACCTGATGAGGGGGTGGAGTGCCATGGCCACCCACCCCCCACCCCCGCCCCAGCTCTGCCAAGTGCCAGTATTCAGGGGGCCTAGGTCTGGGACAAGAGCTCCTGCCTTTAGGGTTTGTCCCTTGGACCAGGAGCCCTGGACACTAAGTCTCTTTTCCCAGAGAAGTCCTCACTTTGAGGGTGGGGGTGCATCAAGGAAATCTGTCTGAGGACACTGAGCGGGGCTCAGGAAGGGCCTCATTGTTATCCCTCCCCGCGCCTCTGTCTCTCAAAACTTCGGTGTCCCCCCTCCCTGTGTGTCCCCCGCCGCTGTCTACTTCACTCTCCATTCCTCTCCCCTCATCCTCTCCGGCCTGCCTCTGCCCCTGGTGCCTCTCTCTGTCTCTCACCGTTCCCCTGTCTCCTGAATGTTAACCGCTCCTGGGTATCAGGCTGCTTCTCAGCTTCCCAGTGCCTCAGTCTCTCTGCGTGTCCACATCCTTGTCTCGGAGGTTCTTTCCTCTCCTGGGCTCTCAGCCTCTCTCCTGCCCGTCTTTATCTCCGTGGGTCTGTACTCTTTCTGCCTCTGTCTCCTTGCTCTGAACCACACCTGGGAAGGCCTGCCTGCTGCTCAGTCCCAGCTCCCTCCTCCCTCCTACTCCCCTCCCATGGAAACAATCTCCAGGTGAACTGGAGTAGAAAGAACAGGGAGAGAGGGGTGTGAATTGGAGAAGGGGGAGCAGGGGGAGACTGAGTGGAGGGGAAGGAGAGGGAAGCGTAGAGAGGGGGTAGGATGCAGGTCTACAAGGGTAGTGTGGTGTGCTGGGACCCAGAAAGAGTCTAACGTGCCCAGCAGAGATGGCTGGAGTGAAGGGGAGACTGGGGAGCCAAGGAGTTGGAAGTAGGGAACCCAGAAATGGAGCCTTGAAGCCATGCAGTGTGACATAGACGAAAGCAAGGTGGCAGTCCTCCCAAGCAGTGACCACGCAGCCTGTTGGTGGGGGAGGGGGCACCAGGCATGCTGGGTTCCGTGAGGTGGTGCCCTGCTCCGTGGCACTTGAAAACAACATGGTTACTGACTGCCCTTTCCTTGAGGGCTCTGGGCTGAGGGTTCTTATCATAGGTCATCTTGTTTCATCCTCATCACAACCCTGAGAAGTGGGTACTATTATTATTCCTCTTTCACAGATGGGGAAACTGAAGCTCAGAAAGTAACTTGTCCAAGGTCACAACGCTGGTAAGTGGCAGAGCTGTGGTTCAGATCAGCTGACTCACAGCTGGGCTCCCAACCTCTCTGCCCACTGGCCCCAAGAGAGGAGACCACGCTCCCACAGGCCCCAGATCTCACTCAACTGGGCTGGAGGGGCACCTGGAGTCGCTGTGGGGGATCAGGGACTGGTGCCAAGGGTGCCAACACCCAGCAACCCAGGGGAAAGGATGCCTGGCCTCTCGGGGTGTGGTTGCCCACTCTGGACAGGAGCCAGCGGTGAAGGTCCCTCAATGGGCACAGGCTGGGCCTGAAGCTGATCCGCGCTAGGGCAGCAGGGCTGGGTATAATCAAAAGCACTTGAAGATGGAAACCAGTGTCCCAAACCTGAACCAAAGAGGCTAAATCTTCCCCAACAAGTGTGTGGGGGACGAGGGCGGCGCTACAGTAAGCAGGTTGCCAAGCGCTGACAGGCAGACGGGGCTGCTCTGACCAGTTGCACAGGTTCCTCACTACACAAAGCTGCGGGCAGAGGGGCAAGTGGAGGCTGACATCAAGCCTGATTAGCAAAAAAAAGTGACTTAGGGGCTAGCCACATGGTATCCTGGTACTGCAATATATGTGGCTAGACTGGGGGTTTGGTTAAGGCCCCTACGCGTGGAAACAGCCTTGGGTGTCTGAGCAGTTCTTAGTCTCACCTGTCTGAGAGGGAGAGAAGCGCATGGGGCGCATGCTGGCTGGTCAGCGACTCCCGCTGGTCAATTCGCGCTGGAGGCTCAGGTATCTGGCCCCAAGACCCCAACAGGACCAGCATGGAGGTTTAGGCAGGAAGCCCGCACTCAGCATACTTCCTGAGCCTGGAATGAATGCTCCCTCCATCTAGGCACTGTCGCCATGACTACAGGGCACCTGACCCCAGAAGACCTCCAAGGTCTGTGCCCAGAACTGGGGATGTGTTGGCCCCTTGTGTGTCCCACCTGCTATCCTTTCAGCACACTTGTCCCTCCAGTCATTGCCATGGCAGCCAGCTTCCCACAGCTGTAACCTCACAGCCCCTGGCCTCAGCTGCCCCGTGGAGTTGTCCTTGTCTGCCAGGGAGCATCTCTGACATTTTTGGCATGACTCACCCAGCAGAACCCGCCACATATTCATGCATGTGCAACCTGGATGCAGCAGACAGTTAATACCCCAAGGGACATCCCTAGACCAATGGGGACAGCGGTCGGTGGATACATGTTCCCAACGTCTCTCCTGTTCAAGGCATAAATTGCCTGTTGGGTGGGCAGTTCTGAGGATGTCCATGGTTCCTTGGAGAGGTCCAGCAGGATTGAGTCCCGGTTGTCCATAGAGGTGACCAGCCGATGACAGTCCTTTGAGTTGGCTTTCCCTTCTTACCTGTTCCCTACCCCCTCACTCTGTTCCTAGGATCTTCCTAAAATAAACTACCTGCACGCAAGCCCTCGGCTCAAGCTCCTGTTTGGGGGGTGGGGGGAGAGACCTGGCTAAGACAGAAGGGAAGGGGGAGATGCTGTTCTCGCTGCTCTTTTCCTGCGTCTCCTGGAAGGCAGCCTCGTAACAACAGTGGCTGTCGCTAATAGTCATTTCCGATGTGCCAGGCACCGTGCAAAGCCTTTGACTTGTATCATTTCGTGTCTTCTTCCCAAAGCCCTATGTCAGTGGTTCTCAACCTTCCTATTGCCCTAGTCCTTCATGTTGTGTGTGGGGGTATCTGCATGTGGGCGGACCTGCCTGGAGACGGATAGAGGAGCGGTGTCCCGGTTCCTAAGACCATCGGAAATATGTGTTTTCCTATGATCTTAGGCGACCCCTGTGAAAGGGTCATTTGACCCCCAAAGGGGTTGCGACCCACCGGTTGAGAACCGCTGTAGTATATATAGGCTGTTACCTCCATTTTGCAGACAAAGAAACTGAGGCTCACAGAGGTCAAGTAACCTGACCAAAGCCACGCTGCGGCAGAACAAGGATTAAGCTCAACTCTGACTCCAAAGTCCAAGATCTTAACCATCCCCCTCTGCCTCCAGGTGAACACCAAGTTGGCACTATGGTGGGGCTGGGAGCCTGGAGCCTGACCACAGCTGCCCTGATCATCCTACTGCTTCCCAGAAGTGAGTGTGGCGGGGGTGGGGTGCTGTGGAGAGAGGGGAGTAACAGGGAGAATATCGGGGTTGGCAGAGAGAATCATTTCCCTGCCCTGCCACACTGCTCCTGGGGTCCCTAAAGAATCCCAAGAGCATCAAGACTGGGCCACAGATGTGGGGTAGCTGGGCTCCCATCCAGACTTCTGCAAGCAACCACCACCCATGAACAGTGGTGAAAGGATCTGAGCTGGTCCACCTGCAAAAGGCCAGGGGGCCCCAGATCCCATCTGCAAATCTCTGCCAGGCTGTCAGAGGGAACCTCTGACTTCTAGGCAGTCTCTGTGGGCAGCAAAGGGATGGGGTGGAAGCCACAAGGAGGAAGGTTTCTCCTGAACTAAGGAAGCCCATGCAGAGCTCTCCTACTAAGGAAACTCCCGTCTCTGGGGGTATGCAAATTGAGGCCAGGCTTGACAGGGATGCTGCACAGCAGGGGTCAGCAACCTCGGTCTGATAGCAATATTCAGGCTTTGCAGGCCTCAGGCGGTCTCTGTTGTGTGTTCTTATTTGGTTTTTGTTTTGTTTGTTTTCAACCCTTTTAAAATGTAAAAAAAAAAACCTTCTTAGCTGGCAGACCACACACAAACAGGCAACCCTAGCCCTGCTGTAGAGAAGAGGGCATCGGGTGGAGTTTTGCAGTAAACAGTTTTGCAAGGTTCCTTTCAGTCTGAAATTCTGAGTCTATAAAGAGGTAGGAGCCCCACAAACGTGCTCTGTGACCCTGGGCAAATGGTTCCTCCTCCTATGGCCTCAGCATCCCCATCAGGAAAATGGGCCAAAGGATACCTGAAAGAGGAGAGAAGGTGGGCAACAGGTAGCGCTTTATTCAATATCTATTCACCTCGGGCTACTCTGTGCTAGGCACTGGGAATACAGTAGTGAGCAAAACAGACAAGCTCTCTGGCCTCATGGAACCTATGTTCTAGCTGGGGAGACAGACAAGCAAATAATCCTATGACTCTATAATTATGAAGGATAATAAGAACTTTGGGAAAAGGTCAAGGGGCTTGGCCTAGTCTGGTTACAGCCATGATGCCTAAATGTTAACCAGTGAAAGAGGGTAGGAGGAAAAGGCACCTCCAAAAGCAGCCGCAGGTGCAAAGGTCCTGAGATTGGAGAGACAGAGGCGTTTTCAGGGAACAGCAAGAAGAAGAAGCCAGGGTGATGAGCTAAGAGAGGAGGTCTGAGCTGGAAGCGGGAGGGTCAGGCAGGAGCCGGGCCACAGGGCCACAGGGGCTGTGAGAAGGCTCTGGGTCTTTATCCTGACAGCAAATACTCGCCTGTGAGATCCTGTTCTAAGTGACCTAATGCACGTTATCACATCTAATGCTTCCAGCAGCACTAAGTAAGGTAGGGACTGTTTTTTTGTTTGTTTGTTTTTTGTTTTTGTTTTTTTTAATCCTCACCCGAGGATATTTTTCCATTTTTTGTACAGATAGAGTGGGAGGGAGAGAGAGGAAGGGAGAGAGAGAGAGAAACATCGACGTGAAGGGACACATCGAGTGGCTGCCACCCGCACGACCAACCAGGGCCGGGGACAAACTGCAACCGAGGTACGTGCCCTTAGCGGGAACCGAACCTGGGTCTCTCCAGACCACAGGCCAACGCTCTAACCGCTGAGCCAAACTGGCCAGGGCAGGTAGGGACTGTTTTTATCCCCACTTTACAGATGTGAAATCTGAGACACAGAAAGTCTCAGTAACATGCCAGGGTCACATAATTAATAAGCAACAGTATCAGGCTCTACACCCAGGCAGCCTAGGTCCAACACCCTTGCTCTTATCCATCACACCAGCCTGCCATTCGGAGCAATAACATGCCACTGAAGTGCTGTGATCGAGATGCGGAAGCAATCAGATCTGAATTCGGAAAAGACTGCTGTGGCTTTGGGTTCTTATCATTCTAATCACTGCTTTCGCCATCCTTGGGGAGGGCCCCGGAGAGGGGACTGGTCTCTAGCTGGTGGTGTGCTAGAGCAGGCTGGCAAGAGCTAAAGGTGCACAACTCTCCCCAAGTCCACACTCAGCGATGTCACACTGGTAGTTTGGTGGGAAAGCAGCCCACGCTACAAATCAGGATGGGTTTTTCTCTGCATAGCCGCTTGATAAACTTGCACCCACACATCACTCCTTCTGTCTCCCCCCAAGCCTCCTCTCACAGTCCCAAACACAACGCCCCACTCCAGCTCCCACGTCTTGGGGGCTGAGGCCCTGAGTTCAGGGGTACAAAGGCCTAGCCTGTAGCCCGGCTCTGCCAGGCAGAGGAGTCACCCATGGCCCATTCTCTTCCATCCCAGGCCTGGAGGAGTGCGGGCACATCAGCCTCTCGGCCCCCATTGTCTGCCTGGGAGATGCCATCACCGCCTCCTGCGTCATCAACCAGAACTGCAGCCACCTGGGCTTGGAGTCACAGATTGTGTGGAAACTGGGAACAGAGCTTCAACCCGGGGGGAGGCAGCAACGCTTGCCCGACGGGACCCAGAAATCTACCATCACCCTGCCCCACCTCAACGACCCTTCGGCCCTTCTCTCCTGCTGTCTGCTCTGGGGTGACAGCCTGCAGATCCTGGACCAGGCTGAGCTGCAGGCAGGCTGTAAGTCCCTGCAGCCATCCACCTGCTCTGGCTCCAATGCTAGCCTGCCATACTAATAAGAACTATTCTTCCTTGAGCTCTTGCTCAATAGCACTTTATGGGCTCGATATTAGGTCATCTTCCCTACCATTGGATAGTGCTATTTAGCCCCATTTTGCAGATGAGAAAACTGAGTTCAGAGAGGGCAAGTGACATGCCGAATGAAGGTCACAAACTAATAAGGGTGGAGCAAAGATTTATATCAGGCAATGTGGCCTGAGAGTCAGTACAGTAACTACTACTCTGTATGGCCACCAAATAAGTCCAACTCCCCAGCCACAGGAGGGTGTGTCCAGGGAGGACATTCTCTACCAGCTGGGCTTGCTCCCAGCTTCTCCCCCAGCCTGGTCTCAAGCCTTTTCACAAACTGCAAAAAATGGAGTTTGTGCCAAGCCAATGCATAAGAAAAAACAAAGAAAGACCAAGTCTCTGGTGTAAGAATCAATAATAGTAGAGCTAGCACTTACTATGAGCCAGGCACTACTCTGAGCACTTTACATATATAAGTCATTCAGCCCTCACAATAATCCCAGGGGGTAGGTAAATTACCAGTACCCCCATTTTACAGATGAGAAAACAGAGCAGTTAAGTAACTTCAAGATCACACAGCTAATGAGTGGCAGAACCAGAATGAAAATCCAGACACTACACTGTCACTGTGAAAGGGGGTGGGGTGGAGGGGGTTTGAGGCTCTGTGATGTTTGTCCCTGTACGTGCCTGTCACTCGGTTTCCCCAAGGGCTGCACAGAGACAGGTGAATAAACAAAGTGACCCCAGAGGGAATGACCCAGAGCAGGGAAACAAGCTAGTTGGTCCCGGTGGGAGCTTTCTGAATGGTCCAACCCAAAGCCCTCACTCTGCCCCACTATGCACAGACCCTCCCGCCACACCCCACAACCTGTCCTGTGTCATGAACCTCACAACCGACAGCCTCACCTGCCAGTGGGAGCCAGGACCTGACACCTACTTGTCTACCAACTTCACGCTAAAAAGCTTCAAGTGAGTAGGGGTCTCACTCCAGCCCTGTTCCTTTGGGTCCTGGGATGGGGCAGAGTTAGAACTGTGGGGATGGGGGAAACAGCGGCGAAGATGGGAGGGAGAAGGGAGCCTTGCTTTCTTCCTCTGCTTGACACCCAAGCCTGGCCTATTGGCAGGAGTCGGGGCAACTGCCAGACCCAAGAGGAAGCCATCCCCGACTGCGTGCCCGAGGACGGGCAGAGCCGCTGCTCCATCCCACGCAGACACCTGCAGCTGTACCAGAGTATGGGCATCTGGGTGCAGGCGGAGAACGTGCTGGGGAGCAGTGTGTCCCCGCAGCTGTGCCTTGATCCCATGGATGTTGGTGGGTGATGCACTGGGTACGGGGGAGGGAAGAGGCCCCCACAAAGGGCAGACCCAGAGAGGCACAGAGAGGGAAACACAGACCCAGTGACAGACAAATAGCCACTGGGAGACCTAGAGACAGAGGAAGAGAAGAGAGACAGACAAAGTGGGATGCAGTTGGAGACAGAGCTATGGAGACAGAGACAAGGAAGAAACACAGACGCGAGGAGACATTAATTCTTTCGGCAAATGTCTTGAAGTGCCCGCTATGTGCTTGGCACTGTTCTAGGTGCTAGGGATACAGCAGTGAACTAAAGAGAAATCATCCTGCCCTTGAACATTACATTCTAGTGGGCAAAATAAATCAAATAGAATGTCAGCTGATGATAAGTGTGACGAGGAAGTTAAAGCAGGGTAAGGGTGGGAGAGTTGGGGGTGGAGAGCAGGTGCTATTTCAGTAAGGGGGTCAGGGAAGACCTCACTGGGAAGGTGATAGCTGAAAAGATCCTGGAAGGAAATAAGGGAGCAAGACACTGGATATGTGGAGGGAAAGTGTTCCAAGGAACAACCAGTGCAAAGGCCCTGGGGCAAGAGTATGAAACAGACCTAGAGAGAAGCAGACACATATACAGACTGACCCACAGAAACATGATGATATAGAGAAGAAGAGACCTAGAGACAGAGCAAGAAAGGAAGACCCAGAGACCCCATGGATGGAGACCCAGGGAGAAAAATTGAACCACAGACAGGAAGAAAAAGGAGCTAAGGCAGGGCCTATTGGATGGGACAGAGAAAGGTTCTGACAACCTTTCTCCTTTCAGTAAAACTGGAGCCCCCCAAACTGTGGGCCCTGGAGCCCAGCCCTGAGGTGGCCCTACCCCAGCCAGGCTGCCTGCAGGTGCACTGGGAACTGTGGAAGCCAAGCCTGCACATAGATCAGAAGTGTGAGCTGCGCCACCAGCCACAGCTTGGGGAAGCCAGCTGGACCTTGGTGAGGTGGAGAGTGACCTCAAGAGCCTGGGAGGGGGTGGCTGAGGGGAGGGTAAGTTGAGCTGGCCCTGAAGGAGGGCACAGGAGTCCAGGCTCAAAGCCAGGCCTTCCCCCACCAGGTGGGCCCCCTGCCCTCCAGCGCCCTTCAGCATGAGCTCTGCGGGCTCCTCCCATCCACAGCCTATGCCCTGCAGATACGCTGCATCCGCTGGCCCCTGCCTGGCTACTGGAGTGACTGGAGCCCCAGCCTGGAGCTGACCAGCACACAGGGGGGTAAGTGGGTGGTGAGGGGCTGGGAGCGGCTGTCGGGACCCAGTCCTACCTCCAAAGCTCTCCCTGATCAGCACCCCTTCCTCTCACTTTATCCATAGCCCCCAACGTCAGACTGGACACGTGGTGGCGGCAGAGGCAGCTGGACCCCAGGACAGTGGAAGTGCAATTGTTCTGGAAGGTGACCTGCTCTAAAGGTCACCCCTGAGACCTCCTTCAACCCACACAGACCCCTGTGCACTGGGCTCAGGACTCCACCAGCTCTGGGAGGCTTGGAGGCATTTGTCTATGATTTGCATGTGCCTCAGAAGCTGGGTAGTGCCCTCTGGAGAGACTACAGGCAGGACTCACCTGTGGCAAAGGGTTGGCTCAGTGAATAGTTAAGTGCCTGCTGCACACACCGACTTGCTTCTTCCTTCCCTCCACCTAGAACCTGGTGCAGGGCAGCAGAGGGAAGAAAGGAGGGAGGGAGGGAGGGAGGAAGTCTCGCCTTCCTGCAGGGGCTCAGTTCCTGTGGTCCATCCACCCCATCTAGAAGCTCTCCCTGACTCAAGATGAGATGTGCACCCCCTTATCTTTTCCCTCCTATGCCCCCCACAGCCAATGCCCCTGGAGGAAGACAGCGGGCAGATCCAAGGGTACCTGGTCTCCTGGAGACCCCCAGGCCAGGCTGGAGCAGTTCAACCCCTCTGCAAAACCACGGAACTCAACTGTACCTTCCACGTGCCTTCAGAAGCCCAGGAGGTGGTCCTCGTGGCCTATAACAGAGCTGGGACCTCTCGTCCCACCCCAGTGCTCTTCCTGAAGAGCAGAGGTAAAGGGGGCTGGCAGCTGGTGGTTAAGCATGTGCATTTGAAAGCTCGACTGGCTGGGTTCAAATCTAGTCCTGTCACTTGCTAACAGTGCGACTTGGGCAAGTTACTTAGCCTCCCGGGCCTCTGTTTACTCATCTAGCAAATGGAGATGGTACAGCACCTACCTCAAAGGGTTGTTGTGAAGATTACGTGAGTTAAGACATGTGCCTGGCACAAAGTAACTGCTCAGTATGTGTTAGCAATTATTATGATGAGCCTGAACCAGGTTAAGCTGGTGGTGCGCACACACACAAACACACAGTCCACTCGGCCAAAGAAGATGGGTGAGAAAGAAAGCCCTCTGTTTTTCCAGCTGGAACACAGTCCCTGAGTTCACTGCTCATTCCCCAGGGTTCAGCCACCACCACCCTAAGTCCCCCCGAACATGGGTCCTCACGAGGTGAGATTAACAGTAACAATAGCTAATATCCCCACTGACTGGCTCCATGGCTTTAGAAGTTACTTAACCTGAGTCTGTTTTCTCGTCGATAAAGTGGGGACAGTAGTAGCGCCCCGTCATGGGACTGTTAGCACACACCAAGGACTAAACCTGGCACCTACCGAGCACTGCACAGTGTTAGCTTTTGCCGTCATCAAGCAGTGCTCCACGCTAGGCTTGTTCCATGCATCATCTCATCTAATCTGCACCAAGACTCTGTGAGGGAGGGACTTTTATCACCATTTGCATTTCACAGATGAGGAAACTGAGGCTCAGATGCTGACTTACTCAAGTAAGTAGCAAAGCCAGGATTTGAACCCAGGCTTCTGGCTCTGGGGCCTGCATTCTTCTCACCTTCATTCCATCTTCTCCTACTCTGTCTCCAGGCCCGCCCCTGGACAGACTGTACGCCATGGCCCGAGACCCTCACAGCCTCTGGGTGGGCTGGGAACCCCCCAGCCCTCAGCCTCGGGGCTATGTGATTGAGTGGGGGCTGGGGCCTCCCAGCCCCAGCGGCAGCCACAAGACCTGGAAAATGGAGCATAACGGAAGCATTGCAGGGACCCTGCTGCAGGGTGAGGCGGGCCTGGGGGACTGGCAGGTGCGCAGGGCTGGGAGGTGGAAAGGCAGTGGGCATGGGGCAACCTGAACCATCCTAGACGAGTAGATTCCCAAGTCTTTCTTGACCTTTCACTGGTCTCACCTCATATACTCAGAATCAGGAAGTTCCTTGTACAGTCTAACTGGATCCTCTCTTGCTACAGCCCTTTCTAGCTCTCTCTTCCACTTTTGCCCCCAAACCCCTGCCAAATGGTGTGAAGAAGAGACCACACCAGGTTATCCCTGAGTAGAGGTGTGAGGTTAGCTTCTGATCGCCCACAGAGGCTACCCGCTAACCAGAGTGCCTGCCCCATTTTCTCTCTACAGAGAACATCAGGCCCTTTCAGCTCTACGAGATCACTGTGACCGCCCTGTACCAAGACACCATGGGACCCTCCCAGCACATCTACGCGTACTCCCAAGAGATGGGTTCGTGCCCACCAGGCCCCTTCTCAGACTCCTCCCCTTTCTCTCAGGGCCTGCCTAGGCCCCAACAATCAGGACTATGCAGGAATATTTCCTTCTTTCTCCATCTCTGGCCCAAAGAGGGTTCCTCCCGGTCCTAAGATTGCCCCTGGCTCACACTGGACCCCTGCAGCTAGAAAGGTGGTGGGATGATAGAAATGAGGCAGTGAGTTTGGCAGAATTCAGGGAGCAAGTCTGACAAAAGTCAACCAACTGTCCTCACAGAAATAAGGTGTCACGTGTGACAGAAACAGAGAGAGGGCCTGGCACAAATTCAGAGAGTGAGCAGCAGAAATCTAGTGGTGAGTCGGACGAAATCAGGCCTGGTCGAAATCAGGGAGTGAGGCTTTGGAGTCCGAGAGAACCAGGTTTAAATCCTGACTCAGCCACTTATTAGAAGTGGACAGGATTGTGTCAAAGTTCCTGAGAAAATCAGGCTTGGATACGAGTCCCCTTGGAGTTATATCACCCACCCCACAGAATGTCCCAGTTTGGGGTCTGGGGAGCCACAAGAAGTCCAGCTGAGATCACCACCCTGTCCTCTGTCAACCTGCGCCTCTCTCTTCCGGCAGCCCCCTCCCACGCCCCAGAGCTGCATCTAAAGCACATTGGCAAGACCTGGGCCCAGCTGGAGTGGGTGCCCCAGGCCCCTGAGCTGGGGAAGAGCCCCCTTACCCACTACACCATCTTCTGGACCAACGCTCGGGGCCAGTCCTTCTGTGAGTCTATTCTCGCACTCCACGGCCCCAGAATGCCCGGGAGGGGGTGCTCAGCAGCCTTGGCGGGAACCTCGGCATCTGGGCCCAGGCTGACCCTTCTCCTCTACTCCCAGCCACCATCCTTAATGCTTCCTCCCATGACTTTGTCCTCCACGGCCTGGAGCCCACCACCTTGTACCACGTCCACCTCATGGCTACCAGTCAGGCGGGGGCCACCAACAGTACAAGCCTCACCCTGATGACCTTAGCCCCAGGTAAGGGAAGAAAGGGGCTGGTCAGACAAGGCTGTTGGGAGGTGCCTCAGCCAAAGGATCTCCATTTTTAGAGTAAACAAGGTTTGCCTGGATCTCCTGGTCTGAGGGAGGAGGCCAAGCCCTGCCCTTGGTATTCCTAGTTTGAGAGGAGACCCAGCCCTGCCCTCCGATCCTAGTCTGAGGGAGGAGGCGCAGCCTTACTCACATGCACTCTAATCTCTCTGACTTTCCCCTCACCCCAGAGGAGTTCGAGCTGAACATCTTCCTGGGCCTTTTCGGCCTCCTGGTCTTGCTCATCTGTCTCTGTGGGGCTGCCCGGCTCTGCTACAGACCCAGGTGAATGGAGAAATCTGACACACCGATACCCTGCCCACAAGGAATGCAGGCCCGAGGGGGCCAGTCCAAGTCCATCCCAGCCTTCCCGGGCCTCATGGCCCAGGGCTGGGAGTCAGGCCCTCCGCATTCTCCTCTCTGCACTGAACGGCCATGCCTTCAGCTGCTGGGAAGGGGGGGAGAAAGGATGGAAAGATGGGAGGGCACGCCTGACCCTGACTTTACCTGCCCTCTTCTGCAGCAGGAAGAACCCCCTCTGGCCAAGTGTCCCAGACCCAGCCCACAGCAGCCTAGGCTCCTGGGTGCCTACCATCACAGCGGAGGTGAGAACCCCGAGAGCGTGAGAACCCTGCAGGGAGAGGGAAATGGGGCCGGGGGTTATCGGCCCAGGCTCACAGAGAATGGATGCCCCTCTGAGGATGGGTACTCAGACCTTCCCTTCACTTCCGAGCAAGATCCACTCCCCTGGAGTAAAGCAGACCTGAGTTTGTATCCCAGCTCTACCCAATTCAAAACCTCAGATACCCCACTGTGAAATGGGACTAATTTCACACAGAGTTGGAGAGATTCACTAACATAAGTCTGAAGAGCACATAGCATGTGTCATGAACATTCAAGGTGCTTTGCAGGTGCATTCTTTGAGCTCCAGCAGAGAGTAGCAGGAAGGTCCCCACTCTGCCCCAACTCAGGAAGGGACAGCAGCTGGGGCAGACACCTGAATTGAATCATACCCTCACCACATATCCTTGTGTCCAGGAGATCTTCCAGCTGCCCAGTCTTTGGGACCCCAGCATGCCACCCATCACCAAGATCACGGTGCTGGAGGAAGAAGAGAAGAAGCCAGGGCCCTGGGAGTCCAGTGACAGCTCAGGAACCTGTGGCCTTCCCACCCTGGTCCAGGCCTATGTGCTCCACGGGGACCCAAGAGCACCTTCTATCCAGCCCCAGTCCCAGTCTGGCAACAGTGACCAGGTCCTTTACGGGCAGGTGCTGGGCAGCCCCACCGGCTCAGGGCCAGAGCACTACAACCGCTGTGACTCCACTCAGCCTCTCTTGGGGGGCCTCACCCCTAGCCCCAAGTCCTATGAGAACCTCTGGTTCCAAACCAGTCCACTAAGGACCCCAGAGCCTCTAGTCCCAAACCAGGAGGAAGACTGTGTCTTTGGGCCACTGCTTGACTTCCCCCTCCTGAAAGGGCTGCAGGTCCAGGGGATGGAAGGGCTGCGGGACTTCTAGGACTTCCCGGGATGCCCCAGCTGGGTCTGCCTCTTGAAAGGCCTGGGGCATCCAGAGAAGAAGCAAGTGTCAGTAAGCCCAAGGAAAGGCAGAAAGGCTCCCAGTTTCTCCCTGTCTGAGGCCCCCAGCATCCCTCCCCCATGCTCTCAATACCCGTGGGCTGGGCCTCCCACTTTAAAGGTCAGAGACTGCTTCATCCAGCCTGCCCACTAGAGTGCCTTTTGTGCTTATTTCCTGTCATTTCAGTCTCTTAAACTGGTTTATGGTTCGGTTTGATTTGGTTTCATTTTGAGAAACTCGTATGTGTGCCTGCGTCTCTGTTCTTTTTCTTTTCAGGGCCCTGGCAGTCGGGGGGCTGTACCTCTCAGAATCACTGGTTGTTTTATTTTTCTTTCATTCATTCATTCATTCATTCGTTCGTTCGTTCATTCAACCAAAACCCTATGCTGACAGCAGGGACTCAAAAATGATTTGGCTCAGTGCATCCTCAAAATGATTTGCCTCAGTGCTCTCACTCTAGTGATGGAGACTTGAAAATTGACCCCTGGTACCCTGGCCGGTTTTCTCAGTGGTTAGAGCATCGGCCCCCCGGACCAGAGTCCCAGTTCGGTTCCCGCTAGGGGCATGTCCGTCGGTTGCAGTTTGTCCCCGGCCCCGGTTATGGTCATGTGGGTGGCAGCCAGTCAATGTCTCTCTCTTTTTTTTTATCCTCACCCAAGGACATTTTTTGATATTTTGTTCAGATAGAGTGGGAGGGAGAGAGAGAGAAAGAAACATCGACGTGAAAGGGACACATCAAGTGGTTACCACCGCATGACCCAACCAGGGCTGGGGACAAACTACAACCGAGGTACGTGCCCTTAGTAGGAACCGAACCCGGGTCCCTCTGGACCACAGGCTGACACTCTAACCACTGAGCCAAACTGGCCAGAGCAGTCAATGTCTTTCTTACGTAGGATGTTTCTCTCTCTCTCTCTCTCTTCCTCCTTTTCTCCCTCCCGTTCTATCTAAAGATAAATGCAAAAAAATTAAAAGAAAAAAGAAAATTGACCTCTGGGACACAGTGGCCAGGGTTACCTGGAGAGAGTCACAGAGTGGGACATAGGGGATATAGACCTCAGAAAAGAGTAACTTTTGTTAGGGAAAACAAAATCTCCCATCAACCTAGAAAAACCTCTCTACAAGGACAGAAAAGGAAGAAAACAGTTTTATTACTGAATGAGCATTAAGCCAGTATGTGATGCGCATCACAGGCCATTAGCCAAAGGGCTGCAAAGACAGAAAGAAATCGTACTATATATAGCCAAGTGGATATGACTTAATGCATACATTTTCTCAAGATAAACAATCACTAATTCTCAAGCAAGAGGACTTGACAGCACCATTTCGTCACACAAGGGTCATTCTAAATTCACCTGGTAAATGGGGTAGTCACCTGTGTTTGCTAATTGCATTTATCCAACAGAAAAATAAATTTCTCGTGTCTTTATGAGAAGAGGTAGGTTTGCAACTTGGAGCTAGGCACCAGCTGAAGTTAGGCTTCTACCCTCCTGCAGAAACTGGATAGGGGCAATGTCTTCCTTAACGATTGCATTTCAAAGAGATGGCTCCGAGGTCCTAGAGAAAGACATTCCTGGGTTGTAAAACTGGCAAGGTTACTTAGCTTAAAAAGGGGCAAAAAGGATTTCAAAGGGGCAAAAAGAATTCGCAATTACAAGTAATTCTGTAATTTTATTTTTCCTACTTTCAATTTGTCTTTGTTCTTCATCCCACGTTTCACAAATATCATCACAGCCAACACTCTGAATGCTCACTGCATACCGGGAACTTGGCACACGGCTGCCTCCGCTAATCCTCTAACAACCGAAAAGGTGGATACTGTCATCATCACGCTCATTTGACGGATGGCCCCCTGGGGCCCGGAAGGGCTAAGTGGCTTGCCCACAGAATCCACGGGGAGTAAATGGCTGAACTAGGATTCCGGCCCAGAGCTGTCTGATTCCAAAGTCAGCGACCCTGACCAACAGGCTCCACGGCTGCCAGACAGGAGGCTGAAACCCAGCAGCTCCTACAGGCTTCACCCTGGCCTTGGGGGCGGGGGCGTGGAAACACTGGGTGCGGGGGCGGGGGGGGGCTACGACAGAGCCCACGGAAGCCCCAAAATAATCGGGGCCGAGGTCAGGAACGGAGACGGGATGAAGGGCGAGATGCCCGGGGGAAGTGGCACCTCAGAATGCACACGGCCCCGCGCACCGCCAACGCGGCCAGGCAACCACCAAGCCCGCAGCCCGAGAACCGCTGGCCGGACCTCCCCGCCCACCCAACTCCGCTGCCTCGCGGGGCACGGCCTTGCCCATCCACCCGCTCGGTCCTCCTCTCTCCGGCCTCGCGGCCGCGCTCGATTGGTCGCGCCTGGGCCAGCCGGCGGCGCCCGCGTAACCGGGTCTGCGCCGCGAGGCCGCCGGCGCCCGCTGGGTCGGAAGTCACCATGCTGAGGGCGGCGTGGAGGGCGCTGAGCTCCATTCGGACCCCGGTCCCAGTCCTCGGGCTGCCGGGCGGGGGGCGCGCCCGGCTTCCCTCCGACCGCCGGGGCCTTCGCCTGCCTCCCCGCGGTGAGGACCGAGCCGCGGGACCGCAGGAGCCGGGGCAGGGCTCGGCGGGGCTGGGGGGCACGGCAGGAGGACGGGCGAGAGGTGCGGTGGCGGGGTAGCAGGGGAGGGCGGCGATGGGGAGAAGTGCGGCGGGGTGGCGGAGCCGCGGGGTGCAGGAGCAGCGGACGGCGGCTGGGCGCAGAGGCGCAGAGACCGCGGAGGAAGGGCCGTGGGAAGGAGCGAGGCTGGACTGTGGATGGAGGTGGCCTCAGCCCTCTCTTTTTGCACAGGCCTCGTCCTCCCGGGCGCCCGCGGATATGCCATCCAGAAACCAGGTAGGAGCTCTTGGGCGGGACTCGGGTGGACTGGGGCGGGAGAGGAACTCCCTAGAAGGCCTGGGGTGGCCGAGAGGACAGAGGGGGCTAGTTTGGCCACTAGATGGCGTGGGCCAGAGGTCCTAGGTGGACGGTCCCACCCCCATGTCCACCTGTCACAAAGCTTTAGCCTGAAGCCTGCATGCGGGGCCCGGGGAGCTGGAATGAGCTAGCCAGAGGGAGCCACCCAGGCCTCCCTAATGTACAGCACTTTGTGTCGGCCCTTCTGAGGTCCTGGAGCCTATGGCTTCCCCTTCCAAGCCATATTGGTAAAGATCTCTCCTGCTAGGTGAGCGACACTGAGCAGGTTACTTCCTCTCCCCGAGTCTCATTCTAAAATGAGTGTAAGAATGTCTGTTTGAGAGGATCGTTGTTAGGAGTCAGTGGTAACACATGAAAAGCATCTTTAGTACTGTGTGCGATAAACCGTGGTACGTGTTTGTATTCGTTGCTGTTACTTGCATAGCCGCAGAGTAGGGCCTGACTGGAGAGGACACGTTGTTCTCTCCCCTGCCTCTCCTTCATCCCCAGGGAAAGACAGGGATGCACGTACCAGGGCTGAGGGTTTCCTGTGATCTGTATTTGGTGCTTATATTTCAAGTGTACTAAAGCTAGGGATTCCTCCTCAACCCCCTGATTTTATTCATGCAGTCAGCAGGCAATTGTTTGTTGAGTGCCTATTCTGTGCTGGTCTCTGGATCAGACTGGGGTGAGGGGAAGGGGAGGATTCAAAAAAAAAGTCAAATTCAGCCCTGGCCGGTTTGGCTCAGCGGTTAGAGCATCGGCCTGCGGTCCGGAGAGACCCAGGTTCGGTTCCCGCTAAGGGCATGTACTTTGGTTGCAGTTTGTCCCCGGCCCTGGTTGGTTGTGCGGGTGGCGGCCACTCGATGTGTCCCTTTCATGTCGATGTTTCTCTCTCTCTCTCTTCCTCTCTCTCCCTCCCACTCTATCTGTACAAAAAATGGAAGAATGTCCTCAGGTGAGGATAAAAAAAAAAAAAGTCAAATTCAGTCTGCCCACAGGAGGACCCATCCTATTGGGGATCTGATAACTGTAGAGCCAGACAGTGTGAGAGGTGAAGGCACCGTGCAGGGTCTTGGGAAAGGCCATCTACTCCCAGGGTGAAATGTCAAGGCAGGTGCCTAGGGAGTTCACAGAGGAGAAACTGAGCCCAGAGATATCCAGTGCCTTGCTTGAGACCCTGGATGTCTCTGATAAAGTTGGTGAGAAGAGTCAAGTCTGGGAGGATGGGCAGTGAGAGTTGACTCTGGGTGTTTTCCATCCTTCCACTTAACAGTCCGGCCCAGCCGAGGAGATGACCCACCCCCTTCCACACTGCTCAAAGATTACCAGAACATCCCTGGAATTGAGAAGTAAGCAGGAAGAAATTTATTTGGTGAGGCAGGGGACGCTGGGAGGATTGGCGAGGAGAGGGGGAAGACCATGGCTTCGAGGCCTAGCCTGCTCTATCTTGACTATAGAATGGGGCAGAGAACTGGAGATGCCCAAGCATGGTGAGGGTGAGTGGCAGCAGGGACAGGTGGAGCTTATGGAGCTCAACTGCTTACTTTTTTGGGCTCTGGGTGAAGACCCTATACCATTAGATAACAAGAAGGCAACATGCCTCACAGGTCTTTGTAGAAGATCCTCTTAAAATCCCTGTGAGGTAAGACATAGTATCCCCATTTTATAGATTATCAAGCTGCCCAATGTCACACAGCTCCTACGGGAGAGAACTGGGGTTTGAATCCTGGGCCAGGATCCTTCTTCTCAGCCCTGTCCTGCACCGTGGTAGCTAGGCAATCTCTCTTGTCTCCCCCACTGTGCAGTGTGACTTGAGAAAGAAACAGTGGTTATAGAGTTGAAGTGTCTCAAAACAGATTGAACCATGTTCTAGTTAAAATGGAAATCCTCCCTTCGCCCTCCCTGTGACAAGCCCAAGACAGACACTCAAACTGAAAGCTTCAATATTCTGTAGTTATCACATCGTTCCATGTTCTCAGCCCAGAAAATCAGGTGCATACTGACTTCTAATTCATGGGAAATGGCTCCCAACTTCCAGAGAGACTCATTTGTTGTACAAGAAATTTTTAATCATCCTTGCTTTTCCAACTAAAACGAAAACAGCATTGCTTCCCTTTTCCTCCCTACCCTGACACCTGTCTCTCACTTCTGTGATTTTTCCACAGGGTTGATGATGTCGTGAAAAGACTCTTGTCTTTGGAAATGTCGAACCAGGTGAGTGGCCTGTGCCAAACCTTGGCCTCCTCAGCCCTCTCCTCTGGGACTCCCTTCTATCCTGGTAACACCTCCCATCCCATGCATCTCCAATCACAGCATTTAGACCAATGTCATTCTGTGTCTACTTGTGAATACCTCAAGACTGAGCATCTCAAGGACGGGGATAGTCTTGTTCCCCCATTATACCCCTAGCACTTGACAAACAATAGGTGCTCACTAAAGATCTGATGTCTGAATGAATGAGCAAGCTTCTGGGACATTCATCCAACAAGCCATTTCTCCGGTCACTAGCATTGGCCTTGGGCTCACCTAGATATGAATAGCCATGTGATTGGCCAGAGACCACGCCCTGGTAGGATGAAGTCAGGCCCTAAGCCTTATGGCCTAGTTGCTGTCACTGCAGCCCATGGCCTTGGAGGTATGGGGGCCAGATCTTATGGAGTGGCAGACTTCACAGATTCTCTTTTTCTATCTTCAACAGAAGGAGAAGCTAAAAATTAAGAAAGAGCTATTGATGAACAAGATTGTGGCAAACCCTGAGGACACCAGCTCCCTGGAGGCTCGAAGTTGGTCAGGGGGCCCTTGGGGTGTGGGGGTACAGGAGAGTCTGCTAGCTGGTATTTGATCCAGGGCCCTCATCTGAAAGTACACTAGGGATTAGATGTGGTTTATTAAAGGGAGAGACAGGAAGAACCATGGGTAATGAAAACTGGACTGGGTATCCTGAGTGGTGTGATGCTGGAGTCAGTGCCCAGGTCCTGCCTCATACCTCTATGTGAGCTCAAGCAAGGTTCCTCAGGAGCCTAAGTTCATCTCCCTGTCTCTGTCCACTATGACCTAAGGTAGTGCGAAGAGCCATGTGATCAAAGCTACAGTTCCCACTGCCCTGTCTCAGTGCTCCCAGAACTCAGTGTGTGTGCAGGAAGGGCCTATCACAGTTACAGCCTCTCCTTGGGACCACCTTCTGCTTTTGTCTTTGCCCCCATTTTTGCAATATAGGCAGGAATCAAACGAGAGGATACCTGAGGAAGGATATTCTAGGGCTTTAGGAGATGAATGGGAGTTGATAATTCTGAAAACTCATTAGTAAAAACGGAGATAAGGGTGGCAGCTGGAAGGGGAGAGGCAGGGAGCAGATCCTTGGCAGTTTGGGAATTTGATCTTATTGCATTGGCCAGGACCTCCAGGGCAATGTCAAATCATTAACCATGATAGTATGCATCCTAGACTTAATACCTGAATTTAATAGGAATTCTCTAAAGTTTTACCATTAAGACTGCTGTTTTCTATGGTTTGGAGATGATACCTTTATAAGAGTAAGGAGCTTCCTTTAGGCTTTGCTTTCTAAAGCAAAGGTAATCCAAAGTCTTGAGATCTTGAAATTTAGAGCCCTTCAGGAATTACAGAGAGCTGTACAGCTCTCATCCTCTGTGGTTTGTGGTTTCAGTTGTCGCCTTGACTGTCAAGATCCGCAATTATGAAGAACACATACAGAAACATCGAAAGGTAAACCTTGAGCATCACTCACAGCTAAACACCAGCAGCCGGGGCAGAGGAGTCTGAGAGGTGAAGGGCTCTGGTTCTAAAGCAGCAGCTTGAGATGCCAGGAAGCTACACCACCAGAGTGCCTACCCCCCCACTACAGTGGGAAAAATGTTTTCTTCACACCTCCAATAGATAAATGAAAGCCTTCCAGTGGTCAAGAACACAAATTTTAGAGCATGTTCACAGTGTCTAGCACATAGTAGATGCTCAGTAAATATGTGTTGAGTGCATGAATGGGGTCAGATTGCCCTGGGTTCAAATCCTAGCTCTGCCTTTGCCACTTAACTAGTTATGAGATTCTGAGAAAGTTACTTTACATGTCTGAGCCTCAGTTCTATCTGTAAAATGGGGATCATAATGGTTCCTACTGACAGGATTGCAAACACTATATGAAATAATAAAAGCAGCCAACATGATACAAATAAAGTGTGCAGGCCTCTTCCTATATATTTTATATGCACTAGCTCATTTATCCCATTTTACAGAAGAATAGTCTAGACATGGAGTGGTTAAGTTATTCCTCAAGGCACAGCACTAGAAAATTATGTACTAGGACTTGAAACTATGTGGTTTCACTCCAGGACCCATATTCTGAACCATTATGCTATATCTCAGCACAGTGTTGGGTACAAAGCGGCTATAATTAGGCAATTGTTGGTATTTTTTAATAAACACACAGTTGTGAATACAGATATCCAGGCTGGCACCTCAGTGTTCTCTGGTGCTGGTTGAGCCTGTTCCTTGGAAGTCGGAGTTTTGTTCTGGAGTGTAGAACACCAGCCCCACTGCAGAATTTTCTCATGGAGCAGCACCTGGCTGTGGGTTGGAGTCTCCAGGAAGAGTGAAAGTTCTCTCCACTTCAGCTGACAGTTTGCTGAACTATGGATAGACTGAGTGGGTAGTGCGATTCAGAGTGAGACCAACAGACCTGTTAACATCGTTGAGCCTTTATTTTCCCATCTGTAAAATGGAAATAACAATAATACCTACCTAGAGTTGTGCTAATATTTGAATGAGATTGTTGGGAGAGATTGTTGAGATTGTTCAGTGAGATGATGAAATGACTATCCTTTGTTACTGTGAAGTGATACACCACTCATTTATATAATACTAAAAGGGACACTGACTCTCTTACAGGACAAAGCCCACAAGCGCTATCTGCTGATGAGCATTGACCAGAGGAAAAAGATGCTCAAAAACCTCCGTAAGACCAACTACAGTGTCTTTGAGAAGATATGCAAGGAGCTAGGGATTGAGTACACCTTTCCCCCTCTGTACTACCGAAAAGCCCACCGCCGCTTGGTGACCAAAAAGGCTCTGTGCATTCGGGTATGAGTCCAAATTGTTGCTTTGGTTGGCCCCGTTCTGGGACAGTGGTGGAGAGAGCAGAAGGGAGGGGTCGTCTGTTTCTGATGAAGGCATGGAACTGGCCGCAAGGCCTTGCAGTGGCTATAAGCCACCAACCCCATGGAAAAACACTGCGGTGACCAGCTGGGGGAGTCATTCCCAGCCCATCTGCTCCCAATCAGAGATTTACATAGGATTACAAAGTCTTTTCCTGCTCCCTTCAGGTTTACCAGGAGGCTCAAAAGCTGAAGAAACAAAAAAGGGCCTTAAAGGCCGCAGCAGCAGCAGCCCGGAAACAAGGCCAGATGAACCCTGAAAGTTCTTCCAAAGCTGGACCAAAGGCAATCAAGGAAAACCAATAAATGTTAAAGTTTTATCTTTCTGCCTTGAAGAATAATAGGAGAAAAGGTGGGGCTCTTTGTGGCCTGAGAAGGAGGAGTTCATTCATTCTTTCATTCAGCCCTGGGATCCAAGGGTTGTCTGAGGCAGAGTCCTTGCCCTCACACGTCAGAGGACACTCTCAACGCCTCACACACACACAACTCCCTATCATCCAGGTGGTGTTTCAGTGGAGGTGAGGCTGGGCACAGCAGCACAGAGGAAGCGTGGCTGGCTGGCTGCTGGGTGAAGCCAGGGGAGTACAGATGTCTCTAGAAAGGTAGCGACAGCGGAGTGCCCTGGATACCATGTCACAGAGATCTGTCAGACAGCAGGAAGCCACTGAAGGGATATGTGAGGTTGAAAGTGGTGTCTTCGGGAAAGTTCAGCCTAGCAGCCAGTGCAGGTAGAGAGAAAAGAGCAGTAATGTGGAGGATTATAGTAATGCACACAGAGAAAGAAATGAAGAGGAAAATAGCCCTGGCCCATTTGGCTCAGCGGTTGGAGTGTTGGCCTGCGGACCAGAGTCCCGGGTTCAGTTCCTGCTAGGGGCACATACCAAAAGAAAAGAAAAGAAATGAAGAGGAAAATAGAATTATTTTGGTAGAAAAGCAGAATTTGGTGACACGATAGGACCCAGGGTGATAAGAGTTGGGAACCAAGGCTCAGGTTTCACGTCTCAGTGGCGGGAGGGAAAGGTGATTAGTAGTTTTTACAAATATTGAAATTTATAGAAATGATTGCTTATTAACATAAAAATGTGCAGCAGGTGCAGGGCAAGGTGATCCTGGAACTCAAGATGGGGTGAAGGGTGTGTTCACTGCCCTCAAAGCAGAGACGTGAATGGGAGGCCTGCTTGACAGCTGGATGGGGGTAGCTTCGGGGTTCCCAGCACACATCCTCCAGGACCTGGACAAACGGGCCTGGTTTGCTTCAGGAAATACGAAACCAAGTAGCTTTTAGGGAGGAAATGAAAGTAATTCAAGCCTTCCTGCATCTAAAAGAAAAGTCAGTTGCCATTTTATCAGTGGTTTCGTGGCACAGTACATGACATTGGTTCCTCCGCAACCCTGTGAGCCGGCTGTCCGATGTAAATATAAGGGCGCCCAGGCTCCGCTGCGCAAAGGCACACAGCTAGGAAATAGAGCCGAGGCTCCGACCCCGGTCCCTCTGCTCGGGGACTGCTCTCAAGTTTCTCTGGGGTTTTTCTCGTTCTCCGGCACCTGCGCGCGCGGCCGGGCTCGGTGAGGGTGGTCGCGGAACGGCGCTCTGGTGGCCAGCCCCTGCCGCCTGCCCCCTTTCCCGGCCCTCGCCCTTCCGCGGCTCCGGAAAGTCAAAACCAGCGCCCCCGGCCTGGGGCCCGCGGCGGCCCCGCCTCCAGCTCGGACCAATCCACATCGTAGGACTCGGGCACCCAGCCCAGTAAGCGTCCTCCCCCGGGTGCCTCCCAACAAAGGGTCTGCTGATTGGCTCCTTTTGCCGTCCCCTACGTTGCCCTAGCAACTAGGTTACGAAGACGCGGTGATTGGGCCTCCTGGTCTCTGGCTACCCAGCCTCGGTTCTCTGCGCCAGCTCTGCTCGCTTTGGGCATCATGTCGGTGCGGACGCTGCCGCTGCTCTTCCTGAACTTGGGCGGGGAGATGCTTTACATCCTGGACCAGCGGCTGCGGGCCCAGAACATCCCGGGAGACAAGGCCCGCAGAGGTGAGAGCGCCCGGCCTGCACAGCCAGCCCCACGCCCCACAGCGCGTCCCCTTACAGACTGACCAGCACCCCTAAACACTGCGCTCATATAGCCAGGGACCTTTTTCACAACGACCACAGCCCCATCTAGTCAGAGCCCCTCAGGAGTCAAATTCCCCAAAAGATCTTTTCACAGCAGAGGGATTTAATACCCTCATTGGATATTATTACAGTGCCTCATGCCCCCTACCCCATCCCCTCAAATTGGTGAGGTGATTTCCCAATCTCTCTTGACAACCGGTCCCTCCCAAATGTAGGGGACCCAGATGCCCACCACCCGTGACATACTCTTTGCCAGTCCAACTGCCCTCTTTCCCCCCGTGGAACAGGTTCTGATTCTCCATTCCTCTGTGTAGTATCACCCTTCATAAACTGGAAGCCAGTGTCACTAATTTCAGAAGCTATTGCTAGAAAGGTGAGGTCCTGAGATAACATAGATAAATAAGAAAAGTACCCTTCTTTCCCTTCACAATTGTTGGAAAAGAATACAATTGTGGAAAGAATTATGAGTTTCTAAAATGGAAAATCTGTCTCCCGTATATACCTCATCTAATCCCCAGAGAAATGACCACCCAGAACTCTCTGCCATCCTTTTTCTCTCCCTCTTTTCCTCTCTTCTCAACCAACAACGGCTTTCACCAACTTTCCTGGGATTAAATATTATATATTCCAAGGTAGAGGAAGAAAGGTTGATACAAAGGTATCTGACATGGCCACTGATTAAAACATTTATTCTCTCCAATGATATCTGTATTCTCAGTTAGTGCTAAGCATGCATACTCAGATATTCACTACTGGGTCTATGTGATTAAGTCCAAGTCCATTCATAAAGAGATAAAAGGAACTCCCAATAGCATACCCGCTCCTTTCATTCTGTACAGTGCTGCCAGTGAGCTTTCTAAAATGCAAATCTGTCCATACTCCCTGCTACTTAAAACCCTTTGTCAGCTTTCACTGCTGTCTGAATGGAGGCCAAGTCCTTGGCAGGACATTTCAGGACCCTTCCTGATCTGATTTCTGTCCACATCTGCAGTCCCACCTTCCACCACTGCTTGCCTGCCTCCTACTTTGTATCTTAACACCACACTGCTTGTAGGTCTCCATTTAAAAGATGTTCATTCCTATTTCCATGCTAGTAATCCCCATTCTACACCAAACTTCCCATTTTCATGCTAGTAACTCCCTGTTTGCTCTGCATTATTCAGCTGAAGATTTCTTTCCTTTTTCCCACATGGGGATAGGGCCAGCACATACTCCATAGCACCCATAGGTGCCTCTGCCTTATCACTGACCATATTATCCTGTAATTGTCTGTGTATGGGTCTCCCCCACATGATTGTCTTATTCATCTTTGTACTGTCACACCTAGTATACCCAGACCAGGACAAATTGGTGTTCAGTAAATGTTGAATTGATTATCTAAATTCACTGTTTTATGTGATGTTGCCATTTCTTCCTCAAGAGGGTTCTGTTTTCCTTGGCGCCTATGTTGTATGATTTAATTTGGGCTAATGGCATTAGTGAGCTGACAGGTAGTTCTTGGATGGGTAGTCTGCATCTCAGAAGGCAGTGTAAATTAGCAGCTAAGAGCATGCTCTGTGGAGTCATACAGATATGGGTCCCAATTCCAGCTTTGCCATTTAACTAGTTGTATGACCTTAGAATGTAACCTCTATAAGCCTCTTTCTTTTTCCATAAAATGGAAATAATAACTCAGACCATATTACAAAGTTGTAAGGATTGAATGAGATAATGTATGTACTTAACATTTAGCATAACCTGTAACAGATGTCTTTCACAAGGAGATCTGGGCAAGACCTTGTGAATACTAGGGGACTGGCTTCCTTTGTCTTCAGGAGCTGTAGTCCTTCAGGGTTTGCTAGATACAGCTTAAGGGAATGTCAGCCATCTTTGGTAATACACATTCACACACTCATTCCTTCTACAGTTCGGATGAGTATCACATGTGAGATGCTGGGTGGAGCATGATCCAGCCCTCTGCGCATGCACTGGAGGTAGTGCTTTTGATCAGTCTCGTCCAGAACTGATTCTAAAACTGGAATACATATCTTCCTTTTTTTTTTTTTTTTATCCTCACCCAAGGACATTTTTTGCATTTATCTTCGGATAGAGCGGGAGGGAGAGAGGGGGGAAGAGAGAGAGAGACACTTCGACTGGTTGCCACCCACCTGACCCCAACGGGGGTGGGAACAAACTTAACCAAGCTACGCACCCTTAGCAGGAACCGAACCCAGGCTCTCTGGTCCACAGGCTGACGCTCTAACCACTGAGCCAAACCGGCCAGGGCATATCTTCTTAATGACAACAATAAACATTTATTAAGCACTTACCATGAACCAAGGACTGCCCTGAATACCTTAACTCCCAAAATGATCCTATCATGTAGATAATACTACTATCCCCATTTTACAGATGGGGAAACTAAGGCTAATTTGCCCAGGGTTACATAGCTGGTAAGAGGAAGAGTAAAGAATTGGAACCGAGGTCATCAGGCTATAGAGCTCATACTCTTCGGCAGTATGTCCTTAACCATTGCACTATACTTCCATACCTGGGGGTTACTGTGCCAGAATCTCTGTGGGGGTTGGAAGGTCAGAAGGAGAGGGAGAGGTTTGAAAAAAATATCTAATAGCCCAGCCAGTGTGGCTCAGTGGTTGAGTGTTGACCCATGCACCAAGAGGTCGCCAGTTCAATTCCCAGTAAGGGCACATGCCCAGGTGGGCCAAATCCCCAGTGGGGGGCATATAGGAGGTGGCCAATCAATGTTCTCTCTCGATGATATTTTTATCTCTCTCTCTCCCTCCCCCTTCCTCTCTCTCTAAAATTCAATAAAGAAAAAAAAAATTTTTTTTGAATATCTAATATACCCACTGGTAAAAGAAATGACAGAAAGTACCATAGTTGGCTGATGGGGACTTGTAGACGACAGAGTGAAAAAGCAGACAGTGTGGGATTCAAATTTGAGAAACACTAATCTGTGCCACCATTTGGAGTTAGTGTAGCTGCAGAAAGCAGGAGCCACTGTGACAAATGCCTGTGCACAGAGACCTGTAAAACACCAGACACAGTAAACTAGTCTTCGGTGAAGCTGTGAATGAAAACCATATTTCTTCTAGATGTTTTCATTATCTTACACAACTAATTGGTCTCCTGGAGGCCATCCTGCTCCAAGGCCAGTAGATAGTGCAGTTTTCCCCCACAATGCAGCCTCTGGTTGAGCATTCAGCAGAAAGGAAGTGCTCTCTCTATGGAGCAACTTCTCAGTGTTGCATATTGAATGTGGTCCCGCGTTTTAAGCAATAGTGAGAATAATAAAACCTGCCTTTGTCTCAGTCCTGTCCTCTTAAAAATACTCATAAGAGCCCTGGTCGGTTTGGCTCAGCGGTTAGAGCATCGACCTGTGGTCCAGAGAGACCCGGGTTTGGTTCCCGCTAAGGGCATGTACCTTGGTTGCAGTTTGTCCCCCACCCTGGTTGGGTCGTGCGGGTGGCAGCTACTCGATGGTGTACCTTTCACCTCGATGTTTCTCTCTCTCTCTCTCTATTCCTCTCTCTCCCTCCCACTCTATCTGAACAAAAAATGGGAAAATGTCCTCGGGTGAGGATAAGAAAAAAACAAATACTCATAAGACCCTATTAGATTTCATTTGCATTCCTCATTTTACAGAAGGGGAAACTGAGGCATAGGGCCAGTCATTGATTTTTCTAATAAATGGAGATCAGAGTGTAGTACTGAGCAACCAAATGGTGGTGAGGTTCTGTTTTTGTGTTTGTTTGTTTGTTTGTTTGTTTGTAGTTCCAATTAAACAGGATAGTCTTGGGCATGCCTCTCACTCAAAATATAACTAAAGTGGGATATCACAAGCAAGTCATCTGGAAAAATGATAGAGGAACAGGACATCATTTATTTACCTTCTGGATCCTCAAGTGGAAAGGGGCCAGGAGCACACAGCACTGCAGAGACCTCTGCTGGAGCTGAGCTTCATTGCCTGTGGGAATGCCTCCCACCCCTGGGCATGCATTTGCCCGCTCCATTTCGTCAGCAGCCAGTGGTCACTGTCCCTTAGAGTAGGTGAGCCCCTCGAACACCACTGTTCCCAAACACACCTTCAAGAGGGTGGCAGTTCCACCTTTCTGAATTCCCATGAGCCTATTAGGCAAGACTGCCTGTAAGTAAATGCCACAACAAGATAGAAGACATGGCCATTTTGCTACGGAAGCCAGTGTCTGCTTTAAGAAGGCATGACTCGCGGTGCTGCTTCCCCAGTGTTTTCTCTCCAACCACCTGTGGCTCTCGGGGGGGAGAGAGACCGTGACTTTTCCCCAAGGAGTCTGACCTTGCAATGGGAATCCTTTGCAGCCAGTTAGAGTTCAGCACCGACTGTGCTTCCAGACTGGTCTCTTAGGGGCTATTGGTATTGTGCATTGAAGACACATTTTTTATTATAACTACAGAAATCACCTTTGAAACAGTGTAGTGGTAGATGTTTCCAAGGGGGCCCATTAATTACTAAATGTTTTTTAAATGTGGGTGTGTGTGTACAACTCTGTTTATCTGGAAGGTTTTTTTTGTTTTTTTCCTAGATTGAACTCTCCCAAAAAAATAAGGAAAGGAAAAAAAGTCATTTTTTATCCTTTATGAGTAGTGTCCACTGTCCTTCAGTAGAGAAAGCAGAACTAGAAGAGGAGCCAGCTAAGTGCCTGATGTTTCATATTTCATCCCCACAACAACCTTATGAGGAAGGTTCAGTTAATGATCCCCATTTTACAGAAGAAGAAACTGAGGTTAAACAAATTGCTTGAAATTACATAACTAATAAACGGTAGAGAAAGGGCCCTAATTGTTACAGATTTCTCAAGCCAGTTACATTGTTCCTTATTTGGTTTCCTCTTGACATCTCCCGACTTGACATCTCATTGGAGCAGTACTGTCTGTACTCGAGAAAGAGAAATCTTACATTAATAAAAAATCAGGTTATACAAAAAGGAACTCCCTCATCTACCTGTTCTTGGAATCATTCTTCCTCGTGGAAGTCAATGTTCTTTGAAAGCCTTATTTTGAATTATATGTATTCTCGCAGCATTAGAGAAGATGACTTCTTGAGCCTTTCAAGACAAACCCTGGGGTAGCTGGTTATTCTGAGTTTCCTCTCCTCCTAGGTCACTTTCTAAAAGATCTAGAGCCCCTCTAGGGCTTTTTTTGAACTTGTTTATCTGTCATCCTTTCAAAAGTTTCACATGGAAGGCAGAGTGTTCACATTAGATGTTGATGCAAACGTGCAAAATAAAGTTCTATAGACCAGATCATAGGAATTATATTTTTAAAGCCTCCTTGAAAATGATGTTTTTGCTTCATGAACTGGTGTTTTCTTTTTATATGCTTCATGTAGATGAATGGACAGAGGTGGACAGAAAACGAGGTATGCTATCTCTGGGCTGCATGTACTCAGTCTGCATCCACAGGTTCACTCAGTCTTTTATCCGTGGGGCTTAACGTGGGACCACTCTAAATACTTTAGAGTAAAAAAATAGGCATGATTTTCCCTTTAGCCAAGACATTGGTTATATATGTGAATATTTTATGTAAATACAGCATGTAAGATGAAAACTAAGCAAACGTAGGCACAAGGACCATACTGCACCTGAGGTACTTTGTTCTCTCTTCATCAGTTCTAAGCTCTGTGGGGACAACTGGGGCAGTAGCTACATTTCTGGGTAGGTTGTCCTATTGTGTAGTCCTTAAAGCAATTCTGTGATCATATCGTGCAACCAAAGAATTGTGGTTCTACATGAGTGACCTTCCTTAAACTGTTCTCCTTAGCACACAGAGATACCAGTTGAGCAACCAAGGAAAATGGAAGCATGTGACTGCATGGCTGCCGGGATTATGGGCAGAAGGCATGATATCATGCATGCAGTATGACCCTATCATGCCAGATCTTCCGTTTCCCCTCCACCTACAACTAGCAGCAAACCTGGAAAGTTCCTCCAAGTAAAACCTTAGCCTTTCCCATCTTTAAGTGTCACAAGTACCTCTCATCATTTGACATTGGGGTACAGTTTATGCATGTCGTCAGCCATCGTCTTCATTATTTTAAATGTTCTCACCACACCAAGTATGCTGAGGAGATAACATATATAATATTGAAGAGCACAGGCAGTAGAATCAAACAGCCCCATTCTAATTTCAACTCCACTACTAGCTGTGTGACCGTGGATTTGAACCTCTCTAAGACTCGGTTTTCCTCCTTGATAGAATAAGGATAATAATTCAGAGTTGTCTTGGGGGGTTAGATGAGATAATGCATAGAAGGTTCTAAGCCCAGGGCCTGGAACGTAGTAAGGATTTGAAACCTGGTATTCATCCAGAATTAGTAGCTTCTCTCTTTTACCCTAAGTTCCATATTGCATGTTCTCATAAACAATTAAATTTACAACAGAGGTTTGGTAAATAGTCAACTGCTTTCATCAAGAGAATTATTTCATCAGGCCAGGCTCAAAGAAAAGCCCATGCCCAGCTGGAGTGGCTCAGTGAATTGAACATCCTCCGGAAGACTGAGAACTCCCTGTTGGACCCCCATCAGGGCACATGCCTGGGTTGCAGGCTCAATCCCCAGTAGGGGGCGTGCAGGAGGCAGCCAATCAATGTTTCTGTCTAACATCAATGTTTCTATCCCTCTCCCTTCCTCTCTCTCTAAAACATCAATAAAAACATATTTTAAAAAAGAAAAGCCCAAATATGCTTTTATTATATTTCACAACCATCTTTGGCCACTTCTCCTGAGCAATTTCTGGCCCACCTCTTGACATATGGCAGAATTTCAGGTGAGAATTGTGGGTTTTGAGGGCTTTTTGCCATAATTGAATCACTCGTTTATTTTAATTTAAGCATTCAGAAATAATGAGCAGAAACTAACTTCATAATCTAAACTCACTGTGCACTTGTGAAAAACCACTTTGCTCCCTGGCCTAAGTCTCTTCCTGATGAAACCTGGCTCCTGGTCCAGTCCTGCCTCATGAAATTATGCAAAGCTCAAGTGAGTGCTGAACACTAACACTGAGATAGACCTACAGGTGTGGTTAAACCTATTTCTCAGGTGTAACTTAAACACGAGCTGGGCTGCTGCTCCAGGGTAAGGACAACATTTCCTTCCTCTCTGTGCCCTGGTTGTTTCTTCCGTGTCTGGTACCTAGCTGGCCCGCCTCAGCCTAGTGTGCACTGAAACATGTGGGAGGTAGCGTGTTCAGGTGTGCCCCTTCATTCTTTCTAAGAATGATAGAGATGGGGCCCAGGGTACATTTTCTCTTGGGGGCATTTGTGGTCACTGCTCTGCCCACAGGGACAGGGCCTGCTGCACTGTCTCCAGCCAGTGGACTTCCTGGATGTCCTTGCGCAAGAGCCACGGTGACGAATAGCTTATTCACGTCCCAGAGGGAAAGGCTTCGTTTTGCTTTTTACTTTGCCAGAGTGGCTAACAGTCTCCTTGTGACTTTCTTTCTTTTAAAACGGATTGATTTGGGTCTGAGCTTTTTTCCTAGTTCCTGCTAAGGGCTGAAAGACCTGAGAAAAAGACTCAGCGCCTAGGTGAATGGCAGCTATTTGAAAGCATTGACATAATCAGAGCCGATGTGATTCTGTAGCCTGAATTCTTCCTCTTTGGCACTCCTCCACGGCCTACAGAAATCTGTGAAAAATTCAGACTCTCTCCTTGGAGGCCTTTTGTGTGGCTTTTGAGTTGTACCTACTTCCTTGTAAATTCTGCATTTCATATAGGCTGCAGTGAGAAAAACGTTAGAAAACCCAGTTTACCACAGGTCCTTGCTTGTTTAGGTCAAAGGCAAAAGGCCATGCATGAGGCAAGCCCAGAAGAGTGACCTCTCCGAGCTGTCCACACTGGAGACATGTTAGTGTACATTAAGGGCAAGCTGCAGTGTGTTGAAATTGTCAGATGTGAGGGATGCCCTGTGTTGGTAATGGATTCGGCTCTTCCTCGCTAACAGGAAGGGGTCCAGAATATAAACCAAAGGTCAAGCGTGAGTTCAACACTTCTGTGAGGAGTGATGTTAGTTCTGTCGAGAGGGTGGGGGGCCCCTTCTCCCTCTCTCCTCTCCCCTCTCTTTCTCTCTGTAGCCCTTCCATTTAAGATTTAAATACATATAGAATTGTACACTGAAACTTTTATAATTTTATTAACCAATGTCACCCCCATAAATTCAAAAAATTCAAATTAAACAAATAAAAAATAAAGATTTAAATACAACCAGTCCTGAGCTCCCCCTGCCACCCCCCCACACACAAAATGCTCTTTGAGATGCTTTAAAATGCTGACCTGAGCCTTCAGGTACTCCTATCAATGACTTAAAAGGAGAGAGAGTGAAATCTGTATCTTTAGTGATAATCATGATTAATAATTGATTTGGTCTAATTAAGTAACCAGTTTTCTTTCAAATTTTAATTACTATGAATGTATATTTCAGCACCCATATACTCTCACCTTTAGGCAGGAATATATATGGTTTAATTAAGAATAACCTGTGTTCAGCCATACTTGTTTTTATTTCTTGTACCAGAGGGTTTTTCTAGCCCTCAACTAGTGATATTTGAGTAGCAAAAAAATATCTAAAATGAGTGAATGAAAAACTAGAACTATAGATGCTTTGGTTTGCACACACCTTAGGACCTTTTATTCTCACTAGATGAAAGTTTTCTATCTGAATAATAGTATGAGACATAGCACTACAGTGTAATATCAATATTATAAATTAAATGTAAAAATTAAGGCATTCTAAAATGGTACTGATCTGACGTACATGTCTTGTAGAAACATTAGAAATGTTTTCATCTCTAACCAGTGGGTCGACATGTTGATTTTCATAAAATGTTTTGCCAGAAATGGTCAATTAGCATTATTGGTCCCATTTTTATAAAATTTCGTTTTAAGTAAAAATGTTATAGATTTGCTACACAAACAAAGTGTGATACTATTTCTCATGCCAAGGAAGAGGTCAAGTCTGACATGTTTCTAGGAATATTTCTAAAGAAAGAAGAAACTATCATCAAGTGGAATAAGCATGTGAGAATGGTTTGTAACCTCTGAAGCACAGCAAACCTGTACATTGTCACACTTCTGTTCGCTCTGAGCTGGCCTCCTGAAGCACCCGGACCCTGCCTTCTGTTGGAACATCTGTGCGGTTTCTCTCGGGGCAGATCTCACCAAGCACATCTACATCCCCACTGTGCATAGGCCTGTCTCCTCCATCGCATTTACTCAGAGAGCATCTCTGGAATAAAGCTTCCTCCAGTACCTTGCTTAGCTGTGTTCTCTCTTGTCTCTACAGTTCTTCATGACATCATCTTAACCATGTTCAATAAAAACTTTATAGAGGAATTGTTCAAACCCCAAGAGCTCTACACCAAGAAGGCTCTGAGGACTATCTATGACCGCCTGGCTCATGCCTCCATTATGAGACTGAACCAGGCCAGCATGGATAAGGTGAGCAGACAGTTGCTTCTATCCCCTTGACTACACTTCTTGTATCTTTTGTGGATGATCGTAGACTGGAATCACATGAGATGACATACGCAATGGTGCCTTGCCAAAAAATGGCCTTGTCGCCCTGTCCAGTTTGGCTCAGAGGTTAGAGCATGGGCCTGCAGTCCTGAGAGACCCGGGTTCGGTTTCCGCTAAGGGCATGTACCTCAGTTGCAGTTTGTCCCCGGCCCTGGTTGGTCGTGTGGGTGGCAGCCACTTGATGTGTCCCTTTCATGTCGATGTTTCTCTCTCTCTCACTCTCTCTCACTCCCACTCTATCTGAACAAAAAATGGAAAAATGGTCTCGGGTAAGGATTAAAAAAAAAAAATGGCCTTGTCTGTGTCCTGACTGGGACTCAAACGGGCAACCTTTCAGCACACAGGAAGATGCTCAACCAACTGAGCCACGCCAGCCAGGGCAGGGTACTTTTTTTTTAATCCTCACCCGAGTACATTTTTGCATTTATCTTCAAATAGAGTGGAAGAAGAGAGAGAGAGAAACATCGATGTGAGAGAGACACATCGACTGGCTGCCACCCAGGGCAAACTGCAACCGAGGTACATGCCCTTAGTGGGAACCAAACCTGGGCCTCTCTGGTCCGCAGGCCGACACTCTAACCGCTGAGCCAAACCGGTCCGGGCCTTTTTTTTTTTTTTTTAATAATAATAATTCCAAATAAATAAATTGCAAATAATAGACAAACCTCCTATTCAGAAAAACTCCAAATACTTTATTTGGATACTCTGTCCTCAAGAAAGGAGAGCATAACTCCCCACTCCTTATGTGTGAGCTGTACTTAGTAACTTCCTTCCAAAGAGAACAGGATGGAAAGGAGGGGAATGACAGTTAACTATACAGTGGAGACACTGACAGACACTACTTCACCCAGGTGATTAAGGTCAACATCTACAGTGGTGAGTCATGTTGGTAGTATGCACCCTGATATGATGTGATGAGGAGAGCACTTTACCTCTGTGATCTTGCTCCCAAAAACCCACAACTCGAGTCTAATCATGAGAAAAACATTTAACAACATTCAGAGGTGATGTTATAAAATACCTGGCCAGTACTCAAAATTGTCAAGGCCACCAAGAACAAGTCAGAGAACTGTCACAGCCCACAGGAGCCCAAGGAGACGTGACAATGTGATGTGAAAATCCCAGAACAGAAATAGGACATGAGGGAAAACTAATGAAATCTGAATAAAGTATGGACTTCAGTTCATTTTTTTTTTTAAGCTTTTATTGATTGGTTTTTAGAGAGAGAGGAAAGGAGAGAGAGAAACATTGATTTGCTGTTCCGTGTATTTATGCATTCATTGGTTGACTTTTTTGTGTGTGTGTCTGGTACGTGCCCCTAGCGGGAACCGAACCCGGGACTCTCTGGTCCGCAGGCCGACGGTCAACCACTGAGCCAAACTGGCCAGGGCTCAGTTAATTTTTTAATAACAATAATAATCATTCCTTTACAAGTTCCTCCATTGTGTGAATTTTTTTTAATCGTGAGGACTGACAGTGGGTGCCAGGCATGCAAAATCGATGTTCACTTATTGCTGGTCCCTGGAAACCTCAGGGAGACCGTCGATGTGTCTCTCTCACATAGATGTTTCTCTCTCCCTCCCTCCTCCAACTCTATCTGAAGATAAATAGAAAAATAACCTTGGGTGAAAAAATTTTTTTAAATGTTAATTACCTTTTGTGCTCTGCTCCCTCTGCCTTTAAGAATGTGTAGGTTTGCCCTGGCCGGTTTGGCTCAGTGGTTGGAGCATCAGCCTGTAGGCCAGAGAGCCCTGGGTTCAGTTCCCACTAGGGGCACATACCAAAAAAAGGGGGGGGGGGGGGCGTAGGGTTTTTTATGCCTAGTGGGTGTGGTTCAGTGGGATTGAGCTCAGTCCCATGGACTCAAAGGTCCTGGTTCGATTCCCAGTTAGGGCACATGCCCAGGTTGCGGGATTGATCCCCAGTAAGGGGTATGCAGGAGGCAGCGGTTGATGTTTCTCTCTCACATCAATGTTTTTGTCTCTCTAAAAAATCATTAAAAACACATTAAAACAAACAAACAAAAAAGCCCTGGCTGGTTTTGCTCAGCAGTAGAGAGTTGGCCCGTGGACCACCCGGGTTCAATTCCAGCCAAGGGTATGTACCTCGGTTATGGTTCGTCCCCGGCCCTGGTCGGGGTCGTGTGGGAGACAGCCAGTCGGTGTGTCCCTCTCACGTCGATGTTTCTCTCTCTCCCTTTCTCTCCCTCTCTCTCTACCTGAAGGTAAATAGAAAATTATCCTCAGGTGAGGATAAAAATTTTTTAAAAAGAAGGTTTAGGTTTCTGTAGAGAAAGGACATAGAATTTAGAATCCAGAAAACCTGGATTCCAGTCTTAGCTTTACTAGTTATAACTGGGAGACTCCATTTACTGAACCACTCTGAACTTTTATTTCTTCATCTCATACCTGTTTTTATCCTTTATTCCTAACATGGTGTCCTATATACAGCAGGTGCTTAATGTTTGATGACAATGGCAGAGAGTCTCAAATCTGTGCCTCTAGTATTACACAGGGACACACACCAGACGGCTCCTGTTGTATGCTACTTTCTAAGCGAAATGTTCAGCTGCATGTTGGAGATATTGGATCATGTAGAAAGTTCTAGCAAATGCCTTATGATCTGAGCTACCTGGCCAAGGCAAAAACGCTTTATTTTATTTTATTTTATTTTATTTTTTTTAATCCTCACCCAAGGATATTTTTCCACTTTTGTTCAGATAGAGTGGGAGGGAGGAAGAGAGAGAGGGAAAGAGAGGGAAACATTGATGTAAGAGAGACACATCGACTGGTTGCCTCCCACACAACCCCAACCAGGACTGGGGACAAAACGCAACCGAGGTACATGCCCTTGACGAGAATCAAACCCAGGACTCTCTGGTCTGCAGGCCAATGCTCCAACCGCTGAGCCGGACCAGCCAGGGCAAAGTCCCTTTATCCTTTTTTTTTTTTAATCCTCATCCGAGGACATTTTTCCATTTTTTTGTTCAGATAGAGTGGGAGGGAGAGAGAGAGAGAGAAATATTGACATGAAAGGGACATATCAAGTGGTTGCCACCCATATGACCCAACCAGGGCCAGGGACAAACTGCAACCAAGGTAGGTGCCCTTAGTGGGAACTGAACCCGCGGTCTCTCTGGACTGCAGGCCGATGCTCTAACCGCTGAGCCAAACTGGCCAGAGCAAAATCCCTTTATTCTTTAACGTCTTTTCCACAGCTAGTTTTGTAGTATCTTTTTGTAATTTTCAAATAAAGGCCTAATTCACATAACATAAAATTTACCATTTAAAAAAATTTTTTTTCCTTTATTGATTTTAGAGAGAAAGGAAGTGAGCATGAGAGAGAGATAGAAACATCGATGAGAGAGAACATCGATTGGCCATCTCCTGCATACCCCCCACTGGGGATCTGGCCCACACCCCAGGCATGTGTCCTGACCGGAAATCAAACCAGTGACCTCTTGGTGCATGGGTCGATGCTTAACCACTGAGCCACACCAGCCGGACAAATATACCATTTTTTAGTGTACAATTCATTGGTTTTTAGTATATTCATCATGTTGTTTAACCATCACTACTATGTAATTGGAGACTATGTTGTTTAACCATCACTACTATATAATTGGAGACTATTTCCATCAGTCAGTAGTAATATCGTCTGTTTCATTTCTGATTTTAGTAATTTTGGTTTTCTCTCTTATTTTCTTGGTCAGTCTAAGTAAATAATTGTCAGTTGTCTAGCTAAAGGTTTGTTGATCTTTTCAAAGAACCAGTATTTGGTTTCATTGATTTTTTTTAATGTTTTTACTGATTTTTTTTTAGAGAGAGAGGAAGGGAGAGAGAGATAGCAACATTGATGTGAGGGAGAAACATCGATTGGCTGCCTCCTGTACTCCCCACAGTGGAGATCGAGCCTGAAACCTGAGCATTGAACCTGACCAGGAATCAAACCTGGACCTTTGAGTCCATTGGACGACACTCAATCCACTGAGCCACACCAGCTGGGCTGGTTTCATTGATTTTTATCTACTGTTTTTCAAATCTTCAATTCATTGATTTCTGCTCTAAGCTTATTTTCCTTCCTTCTCCTTAGTTTGAATTTAGTTTGACCTTCTTTTTCTAGTTTCTTAATGTGAAAGGTTAGGTATTGATTGCAGAAATGTAGGCATCCACTGCTGTAAATTTCCTCTGAGCCCTTCTTTAGCTGCATTTGAGACTGTTTTCTACGGACAAGAAAACTCAAGCTCAGCCCTGGCCGATTTGGCTCAGCGGTTAGAGCGTCAGCCTGCCGTCCAGAGAGACCTGGGTTTGGTCCCCGCTTAGGGCATGTACCTCGTTTGCAGTTTGTCCCCGGCCCTGGTTGGGTCGTGTGGGTGGCAGCCACTCGATGTGTCCCTTTCACATCAATGTTTCTCTCTCTCTCTCTCTCTCTCTCTGTCTCTCCCTCCCTCCCCTCCCTCCCTCCCACTCTACCTGAACAAAAAATGGGAAAATGTCCTCGGGTGAGGATAAAAAATAAAAAAACTCAAGCTCAGAGAGATGAGAAGACTTGGCCAGGATCATTCAACTAGTCAGTGGCAATGGAGGGCTTGATTTTGGGTTGTTGCTCTCTGACTCCAGCACCCGGTCCAGGGCCCCACAGCTGCCAGTATTGTTTTGAACATGTCCCACTAGCAATAAGCTGACCAGAAATCCTGATTTGCCCAGGAATGTCCTGGTCTAACCCTGTTGTCCTGGCTTAATTATTAATATCCGCCCCCCTTTTACTCTGAAAAGTGCCTTGGTTTGAGGGATAACTGCTATGTCACCTGAGTTGTATGCTATACCCAGTACTGATTTTCAGTAAATGCTTTGCTGCTTCATTATTTGGAGGTTCTAACATCTGCTTTAATGATCCCATTTATTTTGTTTGTGTATGGGTTGGCAGCTCTATGACCTGATGACTATGGCTTTGAAATATCAAGTGTTGCTGTGTCCCCGTCCCAAGGATGTGTTGCTGGTCACTTTCAATCATTTAGATGCCATCAAGGGATTCATCCAAGACAACCCAGCCCTCCTGAATCTAGTGGATGAGACTTTCCGGCGGCTTATTGAAGTAAGATACCATCAGTTTAATCACCTGTCAGCCCCAATACTTGTTCTCGATCCTCTGTTAAGAACAGGAAGATTCTGTGACAGAGAGAACAGGATGAGGAATGGCAAAGCCTGCCCCTCTCCCAGAAAAATCCTAAAAATCTCCGGGTATCTATTTTGGTAATACAAGAGGCATTATCTTATGACCTCTTAACTGTTGCCGTCAAAATTGGGAAAACAATGACACAGAGCCAGCCACTTTCTCCTTTTTGGAAAGAGGGTTTGGGTCTGTGGGGGACGCGAGAGGTGGTGTGCCCCTGCTCGGGTGTGGCATAGGGGGTCTGTGAGGGAGCAGTGCTGGCTCTCCCGCTGCCCCTCTTGCCCCAGCAGCTGAGTCCCCTCCTTGCTATCGCTCCCCCCCTGAGCCCCGCCTCCCCCACCTGTCTGCACTTCTCATCTCCCTTCTGAAAGTGGACTGCTTCTTGCTGCTTTGCCTCGGGCAGGTATATGGGGGTCTCTCTGCGGGGCAGTTCCAGCTGATCCGGCAGACGCTCCTCGCCTTCTTCCAGGACCTGCACATCCGGGTGAGTGAACGGGCACTCCAGGAGCACCTGCCACTGCTGTCCTGGGGAACCGGTGCCAAGCCGCCAGGCAGACGAGGGCCGGGACTGCCCAGTTAGTGGTGCCCTCTGTGTTTGGCTCCACGATGATCTACTTCCCGACGATAACAAGTTTCAGCAATTTTGTTGTTTGTTTGTTTTGTTTTTTTAATCTTCATCTCAGGATATGTTTTCCTTTTATCTTCAGATAGCGTGGGAGGGGGAGGGGCAGAGGCAGAGAGAGAAACATCGACATGAGAGAGACACATCGACTGGCTGCCTCCCACATGACCCCGACCAGGGCCAGGGACCGAAACTCAACCAAGGTACGTGCCATTGACGGGAATCAAATCCACGACTCTGGTCTACAGGCCAACGCTCTAACCACTGAGACAAACTGGCCAGGACCAAATCTCAGCAGTTTTTAAATAGATCAAGGAAGACAATGATATTGCCACTCCTTCCCAGTTACCTTATGTTTCTTTTTTTTTTTCTGTATTGATTTTAGAGAGAGAGAGATGAAGGAGCAGGGGAGAGAGATAGAAACATTGATGAGAGAACATCAATTGGCCACCTCCTGCATGCCCCCTACTGGGGATCAGGCCCACAACCTGGGCATGCGCCCTGACTGGGAATCAAACTGGCGACCTCTTGGTGCATGCATGGGTTGACGCTCAACCACTGAGCCACACCAGCCGGGCCTTATGTGGTTTTTTAAAACATGGTTTCTTCCCTTCTCCAGAGAAAATGTGCTTTTAAGGCTACCAGCCTGGTCTCAGTTGCAGTTAGCCTCCTTGACCTCTCCAGTACCTGATGCTGCTGGGAGACCACCTTCTCCTCCATGAAGCCCTTGCCTCTCCTGGACTTTTGTGGCACCATATCATCCTGACCTGCCCTTACCTCATCCATCTCTGTGCCTCTCGCTCCTTCCTCTCCCTCTTCCTGTCTCCAAACCTTCTCCCTCTGCCTCTGCCCACCCCCTGCTCTTTAGGAGTTGCTTCCCTCCCCCATTTCCAGCTCTTTCATCTGGCACTCCCGAGTCTAACCTCTGCCCTCCCCTGTCTCAGCCCTGCCATCTGGACCATCATCACCTGAAATTCCATGAGGATGCCCACCGGTGCCTACAGGTTAATGTCTGTACCTAAACTAATCTCTAAATTCAAGTCCTGCCTCAACTTCCTTCACTCACCTGGCTCAGAACCAGAGCTGCCGATGCTTCCCCTCCTCTGATCTTCACCTGACTGCTTCTCAGGCCCCCAGAGCCCGCCTTTTCAGTGCCACGCCCTCTTCGGTGCCTGTGGCCACCAGCCTCGCTCAGGCCCTCGTACTCCTTGCTGACTATGGCCTCCCAGTGGACACTGCCTCCTCCTGCTGTGTCTGCTCAAGACAGTTCTACACCCTGTGATATTATTTATTTATTTTTAATTTTATTTTTGTTACAGATGTTTCTCCTTTTTTTTCCCCATTGACACCCTCCTCCCCATCCCCCCAACCCCGTACCCAGCTTTGTTGTCCACATCCATCGGTTATGCGTACATGCATATAAGTTCTGTGGTTTATCTCTTCCCTCTCCCCACCACCCCCTCTTCTGGGATTGTCAGTCTGTACCCTACTTCCACGTCTCTGGGTCTACTCTATTCCTCAGACTATTATATTCATTATATTCCACAAATAAGTGACATCATGTGGTATTTGTCTTTTTCTTCTTGGCTTGTTTCGCTTAGGATAATACTTTCCAGGTCCTTCCATGTCGTCTCAAAGGATAAGAGATCTTTCTTTCTTACAGCTGCGTAGTACTCCATTGTGTATATGTACCATGCTTTTTTATCCATTCGTCTACTGATGGACACTTGGGCTGTTTCCAGATCTTAGCTATTGTAAATAGTGCTGCTATGAACATGGGGGTACATATATTCTTTCTCATTGGTGTTTTAGGCTTCTTAGGGTATATTCCTAGAAGTGGGATCACTGGGTCAAATGGCAATTCAATTTTAAATTTTTTGAGGTAACACCATAGTGTTTTCCATAGTGGCTGCACCAGTCTGCATTCCCACCAGCAGTGTACTAGAGTCCCCTTTTCTCCACACCCTCACCAACACTTGTTGTTTGATGATTTGTTGATATCAGCCTTTCTCACAGGTGTGAGGTGATACCTCATTGTTGTTTTAATTTGCATCTCTCTGATGATTAGTGTTGTTGAGCATTTCTTCATATGTCTCTTGGCCATTTGTATGTCCTGTTTGGAGAGGTGTCTATTCAGTTCCTCTGCCCATTTTTTAATTGGGTTCTTTGTCTTCCTTTTGTTGAGTTGTATGAGTACTCTATGTATGTTTGAAATTAACCCCTTATCTGATGTATCATTGGCAATTATGTTCTCCCATACAGTGGGTTGCCTTTCCATTTTGATGGTTATTTCTTTTGCTGTGCAGAGGTTTTCTAGTTTGATGTAGTCCCATGTGTTCATTTTTTCCTTTGTTTCTGTTGCCTTAGGTGATGTATCAGTGAAAATTCTACTGCGTATGATGTCCGAAATTTTGTTGCCTACATTTTCTTCTAGGATTTTTATGGATTCACGGGTCACATTTAGTCTTTTATCCATTTTGAGTTTATTTTTGCGTTTGGTGCAAGTTGATGGTCTAGTTTCATTTTTTTGGCATGTAGCTGTCCAATTTTCCCAACACCGTTTATTAAAGAGGCTGTCTTTACTCCACTGTATGCTCTTGCCACCTTTGTCAAATATTAATTGAGCATAATGTCTTGGGTCCATTTCTGGGTTCTCTGTTCTGTTCCACTGGTTCTTGTGCCAGTACCAGGCTGTTTTGTTACAGTCACTTTGTAGTATAACCTGATATCTGGTATTGTGATCCAACCTACTTTGTCCTCCTTTTTCAAGATTGCTGTGGCTATTTGGGGTCTTTTTTGGCTCCATATGAACTTTTGAAGTATTTGTTCTAGTTCTGTAAAATACGTCATTGGTATTTTGATGGGAATTGCCTTGAATCTGTAGATTGCTTTGGGTAATATGGACATTTTAATGATGTTAATTCTTCCAATCCATGAACAAGGTATGTGCTTCCACTTTTTTATATCTTCCTCTATTTCTTTTTTCAATGTCTTGTAGTTTTCTGCAAATAGGTCCTTTACTTCTTTGGTTAAGTTTATTCCTAGGTATCTTAATTTTTTTGCCATGATGGTAAATGGGATTGTTTTTTCAGTTTCTCTTTCTGTGAGTTCATCATTGGTGTGTAAGAATGCCATCGATTTCTTGACATTAATTTTGTATCCTGTTACTTTGCCAAATTCATTTATTAAGTCTAGTAGATTTTTGATGGAGTCTTTAGGGTTTTCTATGTATAATATCATGTCATCTGCAAATAATGAGTTTCACTTCCTCCTTTCCAATTTCGATCCCTTTTATTTTTACTTCATGTCTGATTGCTGTGGCTAAGACTTCCAGTACTATTTAAATAAGAGTGGCAAAAGTGGGCATCCCTGTCTTGTTCCTGTTCTTAAGGGAAATGCTTTTAGTTTCTGCCCATTGAGTATGATGTTGGCTGTAGGTCTTTCATACATGGCCTTTATTATGTCGAGATATGATCCTTCTATTCCCACATTGCTGAGCGTTTTTATCAGAAATGGATGCTGTATTTTGTTGAAGGGATTTTCAGCATCTATTGATATGATCATGTGGTTTTTATTCTTCATTTTATTTATGTGGTGAATCACATTCATTGATTTGTGAATATTATACCAGCCTTGCATCCCTGGGATGAATCCCACTTGGTCATGGTGAATAATTTTTTTGATGTATTGCTAGATCAGATTTGCTAGTATTTTGTTCAGGATTTTGCCATCTATGTTCATCAGGGATATTGGCCTGTAGTTTTCTTTCTCTGTAGTGTTTTTTTCTGGTTTTGGAATTAGAATTGTGCTGGCCTCATAAAAAGAGTTTGGAAATCGTCCTTCTTCTTGAATTTTTTTAAATAGTTTGAGGTGAATGTTCGGTAAAACTCCCCCATGAAGCCAACCCGGCCTGGGCTTTTGTTTGCTGGGAGAGTCTTGATTACCTCTTCAATTTCCTTAGTTGTTATTGGTCTATTCAAGTTTTCTATCTCTTCCCGGTCCAGTTTTGGGAGACTATGTGTTTCTAGAAATTTGTTCATTTCGCTTAGATTGTCGAATTTGTTGCCATATAATTGTTCATAGTAGTTGTTAACGATCTTTTGTATTTCTGTGGTGTCAGTTGTTACTTCTCTTTCATTTCTGATTTTGTGTATTTGGGTTCTCTCTTTGTTTCTTGGTGAGTCTAGCTAAGGGTCCATCAATCTTGTTTATCTTTTTGAAAAACCAGCTCTTTGTTTTGTTGATCCTTTGAATTGTTTTTTTGGTTTCTATGTCATTTATTTCTGCTCTGATCTTTACTATTTCCTTCCTTCTACTTGCTCTGGGGTTTTCTTTTTGTTTGCTTTCTAGTTCTTTAAGTTGTGAGGTTAGTCTATTAGAGATTTTTCTTGTTTCTTGAGGTAGGCCTTAGTGCTATGAACTTCCCTCTCAGAACTGCTTTCTCTGCATCCCATAGATTTTGTGTTGTTGTGTGTTCATTTTCATTTGTTTCCAGGAAGTTTTTATTTTCTTCCTTGATCTCCTCAGTAACCCATTCATTGTTCAATAACATGCTATTTAGCCTCCATGTGTTCAAATGTCTTTGCATGTTCTTATTGCAATTGATCTCTAGTTTTATGCCATTGTGATCTGAGAAGATGCTTGATATGATTTCAATCTTCTTGAACTTGTAGAAACTTAGTTTGTGTCCTAATATGTGGTCTATCTTTGAGAATGTCCCATGTGCACTTGAGAAGAATGTGAATTCTGTAGTTTTGGGGTATAATTCTCTGTAGATATCTATCAAATCCATTTGGTCTAGTGCTTCATTTAGAGTCTCTGTTTCCTTGCTAATTTTTTGTCTAGAGGATCTATCCAGTGAT